AAGTTTTTCACTGCAACGGGTTACTCTTATGCTTGACCAAAGACAAGAGTAGCCTCGTGGTTTGGAACCCGTATCTGGGACAAACCAGGTGGATAGAACCCAGAAACGCTTATCACAAATTCGACGTCTATGCTCTCGGTTACGACATAGACAACAACCAGAAAATCTTGAGGTTTTTGGATTACTATGGAAACCCGTCTTTTGGATACGAAATCCACGAGTTAAAGTCCAACTCATGGAGGGTCCTCGACGATTGTTATCAACGTGGGGTGTCTTTGAAGGGAAGCACTTACTTTTTTGCTAAAGAAAGAATGCAAGTGGAAGGTGAAGAGATGGAAGAGATAGAAGATTTCTTGCTCTGTTTTGATTTCACAAGAGAGAGATTTGGGCCGCGTCTGCCTCTGCCGTTTCATTCTTACAATGAAGAAACCGTGTCTCTGTTTAGTGTTAGAGACGAGCAGCTCGCGGTGTTGTATCAGCGGGATGAATCATTTGTAGAGATATGGGTTACGAATACAATTGAGCCCAATGCAGTGTCATGGAACAAGTTGTTCTTAGCACTGGATATGGTACCACTCCCTGGTGGTCCTCATCAGTTTGCTCCCTTCGCTGGGAGTTTCTTCATTGACGAGGAGCAAAAACTCGCAGTGGTTTTTGATAAAGACAGAGAGGAGGATATCTACCACACAGCTTACCTGATTGGAGAGAATGGTTACTACAGAGAATTGGATCTTGGAGAGGATGGATACCACGAAGAAGAGCTTGGAGAACCCACTAGTTTCCCTCTCGTATGCTCTTATTTTCCGAGTTCCGTGAAGATCCAGCAAGGTGCACCAGGCAAAAGGAAAGAACGAGATTAACTCAGTACTATTATTAGTTGGTTTTCTTTAATTTGTCAGCTTTTGCTCATGAGTTGATTGTCGAATAAATTCTTCTTACTCGGATCTCCTTTTCCAGCTATAAATTAAGGGAACTATAGTTTTTTTTTTTCAATTATTTACTCGCATTTACACCATGAAAAATGAAATGCAGTTTGACCATGCATCATCCTTTAACACGTGAATTATCCAGTGTCGATGAAATGGGCGAGAGTCGAGAGAGAAGATGAAAAGCAACTCTCAAGCCTTGTACGTACTAGTTGAATATGTAAATGGATATCTATTTTCATTGCGTTCAAATAATCTTGAAACATTTTGTCTTGTCTGATTCTATGTTAGAACATTTCATGAGTGTTAGTAGTATACATGACTGCATCACAAGTGCTTTTCTTTATACAAATAAATTTCTCTTATAGACGAGGATCTTTGGACATGCATGCCTGGTCTCTAGGGATCTTTCTTGTGAAAATTGCGATATAATTAAGTTCATAACATCTAGTACTAGTAGTCTAATATGATGAATGCCTAATCCTCTCTGTACTCTTAGACCATCTCCATTGGTGAACCCCTATTGGGGTTTTTAACCATTTTTTTAACATATATTTTCTATCACTTCATTTTAAAAACCTTTGTAAGAGATTTTAATTTTTTGCTCTTCCATTGATAGAATTTTTAGTGGGGTTCTTAAGAAGAAAAAAATGTATATTTTAAAAATTATTCAGCTGTTATTTGCCGCCGGTTACATTCCTAGATATTATAAAATCCTTCACTATAGCCTAATTAAAAGAATTTGACAACTAACACAAGATTTGGATTGGATTACCTGATAACTAAACCGATAAGACTTTCTATGACTAGATATTTTTCTCCCTTCCTTGGACTTGAGATTCCCGAGAGCATTCTGATCGAAGCATGTAGCAAAGCATATCTGCAACAGACGAACTTAGGATGAGAAGCAGACATCTGAGACATAGTGTGATGATATATATATTGGAGCTGGCTATTAGTACATGCTTGTAAACAATAGAATTAAAAGCAATTCAACATGATGAACACGTTTTCAAAGCTGATATCTTGTTAAGAGAAAAAAACAAGAGAAGGGGATCATACAGATGACTTAGCTTTGTCAGTTTTACTAATGTCTTGGGGCGTCTCCAGTAAGTTGGTTGGAAGAGAGTCCTCTGGAATCAGCAAAACAATCAAATGAATCATGTTTGAGAATATCAAAGAGTCATGAATCTGTTTCGATATCTTAAGAAATGATTAAGAACCATAAACTTACTTTCCAAAAAGGATCTATAGCGATTGAGTTCAGTCTGATTCTACTGCTTGAGTGATGTCTTCTGCAGCAAATGCTCTAAATCCTTCTCTGTCATAATCTCCTGCTCTTTCTCTGTATTTCTATCACTAGGTCTGCAGCAATCCACAAGTACAACAAACAACATCTATAACACTATTACGAACATATAGTTTCTCTAATTAAAGACTATGTATATATACAGTGAGATTGTTCAGAGATGTCAAGTGTCTTACGGTTTAGGATTCAGTTCCGAGGTTGAAATTGCCACTTTAGCCGCTTGTTCAGTCGTCTGATTCGCTTCCATTATCTTCTTATTCTTCTCAATCGCAGCCGCGCCGAAATCAACACCACCTTGACCAATCTTGTTCCCGAGAATAGCAGAGACGCCATTGATGGGTTGGTCAATGGAAAACTTGGAATCCCTAATCCCGAATTGCTGATTGAGGAACTCGAGATCGAAGAGCTTCAGTTTCTGATGATTCGGCCATGGAAATGAAGGTGGGTTGATCTGAATCAAACCCTTAAATCTCATTGTTCATATCGGAAGAGAGAATAGAGAGAAAATTTTGTTGTTGTTGTTGGTTTTTGTTAAAATTAACCTATCAAACCAGAGATTGACACGTTATCGTCTCTTAACAATTCTGAAAATTATTAATTAACATACGCCTCTTATCTCTTTTACTTTATTAATCATTTATTTTCTTTGTTTTTTACTTTTAAAAACTCTTAAAAAACTCTTAAGAGTCACCGATAAATGTGCTCTTATTGAGTCTATTATAATCAATTATTTAAATTTCTTATTCCTCACTTCCATATCTTAAGTTAGAAGAGTTTTGTCATATGTTTTTGTCTCGTAACTAAGAATCTTTTCTTTCAAAATCCTATTATTCAATTCTGTTAAAAGCTTTTTAAGAAAGAGATCCGAAATTTTGCACAACTCTTCTGTATCTAAGGGCCGAGCATGCAACCAAGAAAAATAAAACTGAGCGTAGTTTGTTGCTCGAATATTTCTAAGCATCGTAGATTAAAACGTTTTATTAAAGTAATATAGCTAGAGAGGCATGCAATAGTATTGTACCAAAAAGTTATAGCAAGAGAGATCATTATCATGATAATGTAGTCCTAAATTAACGTGGCATGTTCATGCATAGACAAAGATGCAATCATATCTCCACGTTTGCATACAGCTTCATATAATCTGATCATATAGTCCTACAAACTATATGAATGTCTGCTAGCTGCTGATGAAAATCAATCATTTGGATAATAGTACTTCGTCAAAAAAAGTGACATCATACTATTTTAGTTGGTTTTAAGGCACGAGTGATACACATAAACGCCACTCAGGAGTCATGATCCATTTTATAGAAGAAAATGAGTAAAAAGAGCAAAAAGCCACAAACCAAAGGTCAGTAATGGCCTAATGGGTCGGGGAAGATATATAGATCAGTCGACAGGCCATAGATTTTATTATGCATGTTAGTCCTGGACCTAGAAAGATAGTACAATAAGAATTATTAGAAATATTTTAAGTAATTGTCCTAAATATATATATATATATATATATATTTTAATTAGTGGATTTAATGAGATTTTGAGTGATTGGAAATATTTTGAGGGGTGTATTGAAACTAAAATTTTAGAGAATTTAAAAAGATTTTTGAGTTTTAATGAAATTTTAGATGATATTATGTGGATTGAGAAAATTGATATGATTTGATATTAAAATTATATGAAATCTCATCTAAAATAATGAGATTTGGGTTTCTCTATTTTTAACTAACAAACTCCACCAAATCATTTAAAATTCACTATTTAAAATATTTCCAATAAAAATAGATTTGATTTAGTTTTTATAAATTGTTGATTGAATAACATGAATTTTAAAATGAATTTTTAAATAACATAAATTTCATGTTCAATAACACCAATTTTGGTGAAACATTTAAAAATCGTTAATTCAATAACAAAGATTTTTAAAACAATTATCAAATCTTCTGAAGTTTTTAATCCAATACACCCATGAATTAGGTATGGCCCAAACTTTTTTAACAATGTCACGTAGACACATAAAGCTAATTTTTTTTAATCTACAAGTTCGTCACAATAATCACTGTGAGAAAAGAACATTAATTTGTTTAATCTAAAAGTTTGTAAATTCAGTTAACTGTCTAAGAGTAGTTGAAGAAACAAATTGTTTGTAAGATCAAAAGCAACCTATCCACAAAAAAAAAACATCATATCAACAACACCATGATTATCACAATTTGAAAAAAAAATATAAGAAAAAGCAGTCGTGAGATTAATGCACATTTCATCTTACGTCTGTTTTTCCTATGAAACCAACACAAACATATCAAAAATTGAAAAATATGATAAACTTGCAAATTGACACCTGATCTGTTTGTGATTGTGTTGAAATATATTATGGTGATAAAAGAATGATTCAACATAATACAACAGTTGAACGACAAGGGTTTTGATTATTTACAGCAATTATAAATTGTTCGTGCAGCCCATAGGAAACAAATGTGCAAACGCAAGCAAAGTGCAAGAACTGCCAGAAGTACACTAGTGATTTCACGGTACTTTCTAGTATAAAAGATGTTCAAAACACTCATGTTCTGAACCATCGTGTTTGAGGATTCTACAATCGGACCAACAAATATATGCGTAAAATTAACAATGTATTCGAAAGAGAAGAAAGACAACAAATGAATTCGGAATAATAAGGAAAAACAAAACCAACAAAAACGAAATATGACGCAATATTTCAACCGTTGAGACCAGCTAATTCACCAAATATCAGTAAAACTGAGCCCATGACTGTTTCACTCTGAGCCCAATAAGTAGGACCTATCCACAAGCCTGCTTTTGCAGAAATCATATAGCGGCGTAACAGATAGTCAATTTGGGCCAAAGCCCCAAAATCCGGTCAGGTCCGATTTTGAAAAATATTAGATTTAGGCTTTCGTATAAAAATTCAGAAAAAATGAAGTTTTTTGGGATAAATCTATTCGGGCCAAGTCTATTTAGATTTAAGTTCAATTGGTTTCAGGCTTATCCAAAAAGTCATATATTTTATATTAATTTATTTTAAAAATTTATTAATAAATTATTTTTATAATTTTAAAAAATTAGAGTTATTAATTTTTTATAATATTCTTTATTAATATAAAACCTTAATTTTTAACTGTGTGTTTTTATATAAACAATAATACTTAAACTAAACTAGTTTTAAAAAGCATTGATACCATCAACCTGAAGAATCTCATCTGATTTTATCATTTTTATTATTTATATTATTTATTTAATTAATTATATTTGATAATATAATTTATATGAATTTATAAGTTAAAGTTTTGTTTTCAGATTTGATAAAATTATATTTATGATTATATAATTTGAAATTTAATTTTAATAACTATTTTTTCTTTAATTTTATTTTATTTTTCTAAAAAATCTAAAAAAATTCGAGAAAACGTGATAATCCTGGACTTTAAAATACAAGTCCGATATATTATTGTTTCGAGGCGGGCCGGGCTTATATATGGGTTTTACGGTTTCTGGCCGGAGCGGGCTAGTCCGTTTGACATCTCTAGCTAAAACCAACCGATTCTGCTTTTTTCCTGTGGATGCGATGTCGAACGCACCGGAGGACGGCGAGAGAGGACCGAATAGCACAGGCCTGTTCCCCGTATTACCTACTTCGGCGAACTCTGTCTCAGATATTTCGAGTGCTCCTCAATGGCTTCGCAACGCCAGCTTCACGACGGATCTCTCCGTCCTCGACGCCGCCCCTTCGTCGGCTCCTTCCCTATCCGATGTTGACGCTGGCGAAGATAATGAAGACGGAGATGCTCATGGGAGTAACGGCGAACCCAATCTTCCTGGGGTTTACAATTTGGTCGAAGAAGAAGAAGGGTCATCAGAGAATGATGACGACAAGGTAAAGAGGAAGAGGGATCAAAAGAAGAAGCGGAAGAGGGAATCTTCAGTTAAGGATCCTGAAGAATACTATCCGAAGCCGGCCAAAGATTATTACTTGGATACTCGTCCTGATCCAGATAATCTGGCTTATGGTTCCATCTACAGGTACTTTGCTTATGAATTTGTTTCCTGTATAGTTATAGCTGCTTTGATTCCATAATCTGTGCAAGCGATTTAAGAGTGTAGGGTATTGAAAATCCGCTTCTGTCTCTGTAATGCAGGATGAATGTTCCTCGCTATAAACTTGACAATTCTCAGAGAGGTCCTGTGTCAAGTTCTCTGAGGTTATACCTGCGTAATCGGCGTACTTCTATGCTTGACACAGAGATTGATGTTGATTCTTTGGACGGGAGAGCAAAGTCTGATAACCGGTATTGGTATGCAAAACATGCAGCCATGGAACGCAACAAGAATTTCAAGCGTATCCGTTTGTCTGCTTCAAGAGACGCTGTTGATTCGTCCCTTGATCGATTCATTCCACTGGAGGAAGCTGAAGCTGTTCAAGAAAGCGAAGAGGAAGATGATTTATCAAAAGACTCAGTGATGGGGGGAGCATCATGGGAGGATGATGTGCTGAACAAAACCCGAGAGTTCAACAGACTGACGAGGGAGCGTCCCCATGATGAAAAGGCGTGGCTGGCATTTGCTGATTTTCAAGACAAGGTTTCGAGTATGCAATCTCAGAAAGGAGTTCGCCTGCAGACTTTAGAGAAGAAGATCAGTATACTTGAGAAAGCTTTTGAACTGAACCCTGATAGCGAAGAGCTGTTGCTTGCACTTCTCAAGGCGTACCGAAGCAGAGACAACGCAGATGTACTAATCAGCAGGTGGGAAAAGGCACTCATGCAGAATTCCGCAAGCTACAAGTTATGGAGAGAGTTTCTACGTGTTCTTCAAGGGGAGTTCTCCAGATTCAAAGTATCAGAAGTGAGGAAGATGTATTCTTATGCGGTCCAGGCCCTTTCTTCTGCTTGCAGCAAGCGACATAGGCAGGTTCTTATTTTGTGTTGCTATGATTTGATGAATCACTTTAATACTTGTTTGTTTACTGTCGCAAGTCTTGGACTCTATCTGTTCTATTTTTCGAACTCAGTTTTTTTCTCCGTAGCTGTAATCGCTGACATTATTGATAAAAGATTATTCTTAGTAGTTCGACATTGTAAGGTCTGATTTTATTTACTGGATTGTGCAGGTAGATGCAACATCTGAGCCATTGGATTCTGCTCTCATCCAGCAGGAACTTGTTCTAGTCGATATGCTAGTTAGCCTCTGCAGGTTTGAATGGCAGGCGGGTTACCAGGAGCTGGCCACAGCTTTATTTCAAGCTGAAATGGAATATAGCGTCTTTTCTCCATCTTTGTTGCTAACTGAACAGAGTAAATTGAGGCTGTTTGAGCACTTTTGGAGCAGTAATGGTGCTAGAGTTGGAGAAGACGGAGCTTTTGGATGGTCGTTGTGGTTGGAGAAAGAGGAGGAACACAGGCAGAAAATGTTGAAAGAGGAATCCTCTGATGACAATGAGGTAGGTGGTTGGACAGGCTGGACAGAACCGTTGTCAGGTAGACAAGAAGATAGTAGTATTGCGGCAGCTAACACTCGAGAGGGTCTGGATGAAGAAATGGAAGAGGAGATTAGCAAGCCTGAAGATGATACTGAAGCTATGCTAAAACTATTAGGCATTGATGTCAATGCTGCAGCCAGTGATGAGGTTAAAGATGCTTCAACTTGGGTTAAATGGTTTGAAGAAGAGGTTTCTAGAGATCAAAATCAATGGATGCCTTCTCGGAAAACTGGTATCTATCTCTACCTTATCCAACATTATCTCTGTATTGTCCTTATTAGTATCTGTAGATATGTTTGATGGGATTGAATTGCAATTTTATCTGAAAACTTGTAATTGTGGTTAACCATGCATCATCCTTTTATAGGTGAATTCTCCAGTGTCGATGAAATGGGCGAACGAGAAGATGAAGAGCAACTCTCAAGTCTTGTAATGTATGAAGATGTAAATGGATATCTATTTTCATTACGTTCAAACGAGGCCCGCTTGTCTCTGGTGTACCAGTTCATTGATTTCTTCGGTACACATATCTCCCCATGGACTTCCAGCAACAGTTTATGGTGGAGTGAGAAAATAAATAATCTTGAAACGTTGGCAGATTCTATGCTAGAACATTTGAGAAATGTTCATGAGTGTTTGTCAAAATCAGATAGTGCCAACGGTTTCAGCTTGGGATCTCTTTTAGGCGGCGGCAGCAGTGACATATCTATGCGGACAGAGATGATGAAGTTTCTCCGCAATGCCATCTTGCTCTGTCTGAATGTTTTTCCGCGAAATTACATTTTGGAAGAAGCTGTGCTTGTTGCAGAAGAGCTATTTGTAACAAACATGAAAACATGTGAGGTAGCAACTACCCCATGCGAAGCTTTGGCCAAACGTCTCCTGAAAAGTGACCGACAGGTAAGGTCTGTTCCAATTCGTTGGTTCGGTTTGCTCTTCTATTCAGTTTACGTCAACTAATTCCTTCTCCATTGACAGGATCTACTGCTTTGTGGAATTTATGCACAGCGGGAAGCTGCTTCTGGAAATATGAAACATGCAAGACGAGTCTTTGACATGGCACTGACTTCTATATGTGGCCTGCCGAAGGTTAGATTTCCGTTTTGTTGTTAGCATATAATACAAAGTTAACATGTTTCCATCTATGTTTTTTAACTTCAAAGGAACTTCTAGATAAGTTGATTTCACCTTTGATTGCAGGAATTACAGTATAACGCTCCTTTGCTATATTTATGGTATGCTGAATCGGAAGTAGCCAATAGTAGTGGCAGCGGTGGGGAATCAGAATCGTCATCTCGTGCTATGCACATCCTGTGTTACCTTGGAAGTGGTCTAGCTTATATTCCCTATACTTCACAGCCTTCAAGCGTGCAAATCCTTAGAGCACGCCAAGGCTTCAGAGAGATGCTTAAGAAGATACAATCAACATGGTCTCGTGGTGTCACAGATGATCAATCAGCAGCGCTTGTTTGTTCGGCAGCTCTATTTGAGGAGTTAACGAATGACATTCCTGGTGCTGTTGAGATCCTAGAGCACATGTTCAGTTCTGTTCTTCCAGGTTATTTTCCACGCTCTTTATTCTTGGGCTCTCTTTCTGATTTCCATGCTAGTAAGTAGTAGTATACATGACTGCATCAGAAATGCTTGCTTTATACAAATAAATATATCCCTTGCATGCACTGATTATCTGGATTTTTATCCGGTAGTGAAGATTTTGGTTTAAGCTATTGTGAATTTTGCAGGAAGAAAGAGTCAAAGTCATCAACTTGAACTCTTGTTCAACTATTACTTGAGAATGCTTCAGAGACATCAGGACGGCCTTACTTTGTCAAACCTGTGGAAGCCCATAACAGAGGGGCTGCAACTGTATCCTCTCAGTCCCGAGCTTTATGAAGCTTTGGTGGACATCTGTAATCACCGTATGACCTCCCATAGACTGAGAATGATGTTTGATGACTACTCCCGCAAGTAAGCTTCTTCACAAACTTCTTATGAACCCTCCATCTCACGATAAAGCAGATATTGATGCTCAGCTTAAGTTTCATATCAATGCTAAAAGTAGAATATGTTGTTGGTCATGCAGAAATCCATCAGTCGTTGTTTGGCTCTTTGCGCTTTCTTATGAGATGAGTAGAGGAGGCTCCCTACACAGAATCCGAGGATTGTTTGAAAGGGCATTGGCACAGGATACGCTAAGCAGCTCGGTTATTCTATGGCGTTGCTACATCGCATATGAAATGGACATCGCACACAATCCAACAGCAGCTAGAAGGATTTACTTCCGAGCTATAAATGCATGCCCATGGTAAGACTTGCATATATGATATAACCACCAATCTAAAAGCTTTTTTGCTCCAGATTTGTCATAATATAATGGTGTGGCAGGTCGAAAAAACTATGGCTGGATGGGTTCGGGAAGCTGAGCTCAGTACTGACGGCGAAAGAGATGTCAGATCTACAAGAAGTGATGCGGGACAAGGAACTCAACATTAGGACAGATATCTACGAAATTCTTCTTTTGCAGGGATAAGATGTTTATATTCTGGTTATTGCGAATTAACCAAAGTGAAGAGATGATCGTAACTATTGACGCTTCTTTAGTGAAGTAAATGGAATTTTGGTTCATGTATGTTTTATTTGTGATTTTAACTCTTTTTGTCTCTTTGATAACAAGCCAAAATATCATTTTCAAAATGAAGATAGTGAGATCGGAATCTAAATTAGATAGCAAACCTTTCACTCTGCCCTTTTCTTTATTATGTCCTTGTTTAATATATATACCACTAGGGTTGACCCGCACTACGTGCAGGTTTATACATTATTTTTTTATATATTTATAAGATATTAATTGTTATGGTTTAATTTCATAATATGTATAGTTTTTCTAATATTGTAGTCGTACATCTTTCCATGTATGTCTAAGTTGCTATCGTGATTTCAATTTTTTTTCCATTTTTCATTTTGTTTTTTATTATGATTGTTATGTTAATTCTCCATAAAGATGTATATGACTGTTTTTAAATTCATTTTTAGTAATTATTTTTAATTAAATAGTATTGTTTTTTAAGTTTTTGTAGTATTTTTGTTTAGCGGACAATATTCGGTTTTATATGAGTTCTTAATATTTTTTAAACTCTAATTTATTAATTTTAGTATTCTTCCATTTTACATTTTTTAATTGGTTTAAATTTGAATTTTCTAAGTTTTAATACATGTGTTTTCTATATGTGAAAACGGTGAAGGTCTATAAGACCCATATTTGGCAACCCAGAAGTCCAATTAGTGAACCATGTTTTTTGGTGGCGGCTAACTGGCTGTCCTGTACAATGGGTTTTTCTCTGATGGTCGTTCCCAGATCGTAAAACATCAATCTATTTTCTGAGAAATTATTCTTCGATTTTCTCTACTCGAATTTTTTCTCTATGTCCTACTCTCTCCTCTGTTAATTATATATTTATTATGTTTTTATCAAGTGGCGGACCTTTCTCACTTGCTACAGCGTCTGTGGATTGTGTTTGAGTTATTTCATCTCTCCCATTTTGTAATTATTTCTGTGAAGTTGATTTATAATCATTCAGTCGCTCATGCTACCAACTACAGATTCGGAGGAGAGTTGTGAACACCTCAACTGTTTCCGTCGGCTCAAAAGTTAATCCGTGGCCCTTTCGATTGCTTTCATCCTTTGCGCTCTCTGCTCGGAAAGTGATATATCTTTCTGTCGGGTGTTTATGTTTCTTTACTCTAATTTAATGATGCAGAAGTTGATGATTGTTATAGATTTTAATCTATATCTATAACACTCCATATAGATATAGATATAAATTAAATAAGCCCATATAGTAAAAAGATGTAAGGTGAATTTGAGAGAAATCATGGATTTGGGCTACATATATATCATAATATATATCTATAAATTTAAATAGTAAGGTGGCATCTGATTGAGATGTTGAAGTGGCTGCATGAGAAGAGAGAAAATGTTACTTTATAGATATAGATCCCAAAATTTAAAAGTTATTAGCAATATTACTCACTACTATTATTATATGCGACTGTATCATGCTTTTAAAATTTTCAGTTATACTACCATATCAATTATAGTCAGAAACATTGGATGTCTGTCAGAAATCTCCGTTGAACATTTTTATAGGATGTAAAACATTGGACAGCCAGCTACAAAATTTGCTGACAATGTACATTTTTGACCTAAAAAGTGAAATGTAACTTGGTCTTGACGCTATTGTAAAGGAAAAAAAAAAGTAAACCTAAACTTCCCCCGTCCATTAACTTGATCCATGTAAAAGAACAAAGAATCTCCATAGAGCCGTCAAATCATTGGATAATAAAACCATCAATCCAAAAGTAACAAAAAGAAAGAAAAAGACAATATCCAATCAAACCAACGTGATTTTCCCAAACATTTCCACAATTAGAAAAATTAGCAAAATTTTCCAAAATATCACTCTTACCCCCAACAACCCGTAGGTTTTGTTTCAAAGATATACAACAAAAGTGTACCCAAGTGCATACGTTATTTCTATAATCTTCTCTTTTTGCCCCAATAATGCTATTCTTAATTAAGTCAATAAACCCCTTGACCATGTCCCATAGCTGCACGTATCCCACGCGTCATCTGTGATAGATTACATCCACGAATCGTCGACGGCGGAGGAAACTGCCACTTCCAGCGACATGTCTCGTAATCGTTATTATAATTAATATTATTACTATATATTCGAATTAATCTCCGTTGATGCCGTTGTGAAGCTACATCGTCCCATTTGTAATTGCTGTTCTGAACTCTCCTCAAGAGGCGTTTATCGACTTCTTGAACTCCAACTCCGAACATATTCCGTCGACATAATGCAAATACGAGTCCTGCACCAAACCATTTAAATTAAATTTACGCTACAATGTTGTAATATATTTATATATTCTATATGAATAGTCTAGATCTAGATCAACTTATCGAGTATCTAAGTCTATGAATGTAATACATACAGTAGATAGAAGAAAGATTGGCTATATGAGTAATATGTCTTATTTGAGGAATATTAGATATGGCTTTCGGCTTTAACAGTGACCAATAAAAAAAGGAATATGAATGAAAATGAAAAGAACGAAAGGAATAAAAGAAAAAGAATGAAAAATATATAAGGATGTAAATAAATATATTTTGTTCCTCCTCAATTTTAATAAGTAATACATTTGTTCTATAATTCCTTATATGATAAGGAATAAGAAAGAATGATAGGAAAATATTAGGGAAGAATTGGCAAAAGGCCTTATTTAAGTTTTTAAATTTGAAAAATACACTATTATTTAATTTTTTTAAAATGACACTTACTTATATTATATAAAAACAAATAAGTGTTTCTTTATCTGACTTAAAAGAGATATTACATATTTTAATAAATTAAAATGAAAATTCAAAATTATTAATATTAATCTATTTGAGAAAATTAAAATTCGAAATGATCAATTCAAATATTAAATTATTTTAGACAATTAAAATTCGAAATGATCAATTCAAATATTTAAATATTCATCTCCAACAAAAAAATAGTTTATTAGTATATTATTATTTAGATATTTTTTAACTAAAACTATTTTGGTCCATCATAAAGTTTCTAGGAGTTAGATCTAAATATAATTTAGCAAAAGACCAAATCAAATAATATATGAACTGCAATGATGATTCAAATTCCAAAATTATGTGTCTTCATTTTTTTTATTTTTATTTTTATATATTTATTTATATTTTTAATTAAAATATTAATCAAATTCCAAAATCATGTGTTTTCATTCTTATATTCATTTTTATATATTTATCTATATTTTAATTAAATATCAAAGGTATTACCAGTTTTTAATTAGATTGATTTAGACATTTCATTAAAAAAATAAGTATATTTTTTTTAAAAAATGAACAATGGTGTAGTTTTCAAAATACAATTTCTTTTTAAGGTATTAACAAATGATAAAATTTTTAAAGAATGAAGAAGAATTCATTATTCCCTTCGTTCCCTTGATTAGTTGAAGCCTTCGTCTTCATCGCAGTATAGCCAAAGGGAAATCCTAATTGAGCTTTTGTCAGGTTACAGCAAGAAACGAATATATATAACACTAATTATTATATCCGCTTATAAGCCGTAATTTATACCAAAGTTGACACATATCTTACAGTAATATATATATATATATATATATATATACTGATTTCCTAAAGAATTGGAGAAATCATGTTAGAAATACTGATTTCTATCCACTCAAATATTTCCATATCCTACTAGTTTTTGTTTTTATAGTTTGCTATTATAGTAGCAATCACGTCATTTTATTTTTGTTTGTAAATACTGTATATGTAAAACAATTTGATTATATTTTGGTAGATGAATAAAAGGTCTAATAATAACCTGAATAAAGAAGGGATCTGCGTCAATTTGTGATACTTCTTTTGCGAATAAATTATCTTGCAAAATGATTCAACGCCATAAGACTTAAGCAAATGTATATATTTTGTCCTTTGATTTTACTTTTTAGTAAAATTAACTCGGATCATATAAATAAGTTCTTTTACTAAAATTCCATAAATGTTGTACATATATCAAATAAATAAGCTGACAGATACATTAAGTGGATTATAATAAACAGAATCATGTATATCACTGTAGCATTTAGGTGAGAGGGGAAAGACACAGACAATTTTGTGAACGTATTGATATTTACTTGTTTGTATATATATGTAGCCTATAATACACTGAATCATGTATTGTATAACAAATTCGTTAGCTACCTTTTCACTTTCTGATGAATTAATGCTAGTCTTGTTCATAAATAATTATATGTTCGCAACTGATATTTTCAGTTCATGTCCATTTTTAGCAACATATTGACATTTACTTGTTTGTGAGAAATTATTCTACACTTTAAAAACCAAGTTAATATTTTTTTTCTTTTCTTTTGTGGGGTAAATATATCGGTTAAAAATGGGGGAAAGGTGACATATATAAAAAGGCCTCCTATGAATGTGTGCCCCGTAATCTTTCACGAGATGTGCCTGACGAAGTTGAATAAGGCCAAAACATGGAAATCAAGCCTGGAAATCAGTGACCGACACGTTAGGTCTCAGTATCACTATCAGAGTTATCTTTTCACGCATGCCAATATTTTCATAAACAATGAATATTAAACTAGATCTAGACTATATACAAAATGTTGTTGTTGGCCAAAATATGTGGAAAAGGTTTCATTTCCTTATCCTATCACATTAAAATAGAATTTTTCCTATTCCCTTGATAGGTCTTCCTCATCTTTTTTATTAGTGCCACAGAAACGAAAGCTAAGCAAAAAAAAAAAAAAAAACAGAGTGTGTAATGGCGCCGATGAAGCTTCCATGGGATATGGAGGAAGAGATACTCTCTCGGCTTCCACATCTATCTCTTGTTCGGTTCAGGACCGTATGCACACACTGGAACGCTCTTTTCAACGACAAGAGTTTCCTCAACAACCACATGGCTCGTGCTCGTCCCCAATTCATTTTCCTAACCGAATCCAAGATTTACTCGATCGACATCGATCTTGGCGAAGGCAGTGATCCAACGGTAGAGGTGCGTGAGCTAGTCTCTGATTTCCCTTACAAGGCTATAGACCTGTCGCATACCACCATCACGGTTTGCGACGGGTTCTTGTTTCGTGACTTTTGGAAGAAAGGTGTTGCGGTTTGGAACCCGTGGCTGAGACAGGTTAGGTGGGTCGAGTACGAGGATAAAAGATTCCATTTCTGCGGCGTGGGATACGATAGCAGTGGTGAAGAACTCGAAAAGCGTTACAAGATCTTGGGGTACATTAACTGTCTCCGTAACGTTAGCGACACTTACGAAATAAGTCACCAAAGAGTTGCTATATACGAGTGTGCGTCTCACGCGTTGAAGTTTCTTGATGCTCCTTTCAAGCAGTGGCCCACCGTGGAGCCTCTGTCCTTGAACGGTGATCTCTATTGGGTTACTTGTCATTATGACACCTACGAGTATTTTATCCGAAGCTTTGATTTCTCCAGGGAGGTATTCAAACCCTTTTGTCTCCTGCCGTGTCAGAAGAACAGTTCTCGCGATCAACTTGCCCTCGCGGTTTATAAGGAAGATGGGTTTTCGTTGTTGAAGCAATGCTATGTGACAGGAGAGATTGAGATTTGGGTAACGAAGGATAAGATTAACGTGGAAGAAGTGGTGTGGATAAAGTTGATGACTCTGCCAACAAGTAACTTGCCAAAGTTAATTAACAAGTTATGTGGGATTAGTTACTTCATCTTTGACAAGACCTTAATCATGTGTTGTGGCGACGAAGAAACTGGAACTGCTTCCATCTATATTGTGAGGGAAGATAAGTGTCAGAAGATTCAGATAGGTTCTGGATTTGTTCGGTTTTCTCACTGTGTCTATCTTCCAAATTTTATCTCGGTTCCTTTAGAATTCAAATCACTGCCAGTTTAAATTTTGGCTTTTCTTGCTTCGTTACAAATATTGATAATTGTGCGTCATCATGCACTTTCTATTCAGAAGCAATTATTATTCACCAGATTTGCTGCTCTGATTGTTGTTGAAGCAGAGAGTACAAAGGTTTTCGCTTCTTTGAAATGTGATTCTGTTTCAATTTCTTATTTGCTCTGTCTGCATGTGAATTGATTTTTTTGGAAATAAACGATATAGTCATTAGCCTTCTTGATTTTTTTTTGTAAATTTTTTTTTTTTGTAAGGTTGGGTTAATAATGGTATAGCTTATTCTATTTGAAACTCTTATCAATCCAAATATGTTACAACTTAAAAATAAAACAACGCTTTAAAGAACTCTGAAGGTGACTTGATTTTAGACTCATTCACACAACAAAATTAAAGAGAACAAAAGGCAGACCAATGTAGATGAGCACCAGTGACACAAAACGTTACTTCTAGAGGCCTATAACATTGCATAGAGGCTCAAGAACCAGTCAAAGACTACTTACACAACACATTCGCCATAGATTTACCTACAAGAGAGCAAGTCACTTTAGCATTGTGAACTTCAACATTTCAACAACTTTATATGTAAAACCCATTTTGCAATTTCATAGTAGGAGATCTATTTGGACAAGTTCCACCGTGGAATATGCCTAACATATGGTGTGTGGCAGGTCGGAGAACAATGTCGGATTCATAATTAAAGATGAAACTGAGCTCAAGCATATATATAGTTTTGCTGCAAGGATATGAGATATCATGTATGTATATATAGTTATATGTTCTGTTCTGGTTATTGAGAATTTACAAAATGTAGAAGAGGAAAGAGAAATGATCGGATTTAAAAGAGATGCGTGAGAAAAAAGAAAGTCCAGTCTCCTTGATCGGAAGGCAAGGGATCTTTCTTTTTGCCCTTGATCAGAATCTTAGATTTACAATTGATCAGAATCTTAGATTTACACTTCATCACTTTGCACTTTTCCTTGTTCTGTCCTCTCTTGTTTAATAGAGTATAGAACCATCCCAAACAAAATATTATGATTAAAGATTTTTTTGTTTTTGTTTGAAGTATTCTATATTCACAACTTTTTTTAATTCTTGGCGAATATGATCATAATTTTCTATATATATTACCATAAATTATAGTAAGAAACTTTGGATATATATGTTGGAAATCTCTGTTGAATGCTGTTATATGATGTAAATCTTGGTCTCATGGTCAGCTGCAAAATTTCTCTGCAGTGTATATTTGACCTAAAAAGTTGAATGTAACTTGATTTTCACGCTATTGAATACACTATATAGTGAAAAAAAAAAACATAAAACAAAAGAGAAGATAAATAATAAACTCAATATTTTTGTCCATCAACTTGATCATCTGGTTACACCCATGTGAGGAAAAAGAACAAAGGTACCAATGATCCATAGAGCCGTCAAATCAATGGATAATAATAGCATCATCAATCAAAGAAAAAAAAAACTTAAACAAAAAAAAACAAAATCCAAATATCCAATCAAATCACGTGATTTTCCCACACATTCCCACAATTAGAAAAATTAGTTATAAGTTTTCCAAAATACTGTACCACTTACCCCAACAACCCGTAGGTTTTATTTCAACCGTTTATAATAAAAAGTACAACAAAAGTGTACCTAAGTGTTTACGTTATTTGCCAAAATAATTCTATATTCTTCTCTTTTTTGCTTTTGTTCTTTAACAGCCAGTCAATAAACCCCTTGACCATGTCCCATAGCTGCAGCGTTTGATGACGTATCCCATGCGTCGTCTGTGATGAACTGCATCCACGAATCGTCTTTATCGTCGATGACGTCTTCTACGCAGGCGGAAGAAACTCCAACTTCCGGCGACATTGTCTCGTATTCATGATTGTTAAAATTATTCGAATTAATCTCCATCGACGCCGTCGTGAAGCTACATTGTCCCGTTTGTAATTGCATTTGCTGTTCTGTTTCCAACTCCGAACATATTCCGTTCTTCTTGAACACCCGACATAGTGCATACGAGTCCTGCACCAAACCATTTAAATTAATGTTTTTTTTTGTTAGAAATGTAATATATTTTTACACATCTATTATAGTCTATATCTAGATTAACATTAATTTGTCGTCAACCTATCGAGTATTTGAGTCTATAAATGTAATACATAGATAAAGGAAGATTGTCTAAATGAGTATTTGTCTTATTCGAGAATATTAGATATTGCTTTTGTTTTGCCTTCGTCGCAGTAAAGCAAAGCGAAACCCTAATCGAGCTTTTGTCAGCTGACACGAAGAAATAAATTTATATTATTATCATTATTATATCCGCATATAAGCCATAATTCAATTTACTAATAGTAGTTTTACTAAAGAAATGGAGAAATCATGTTAAATATACTGAATTGTATCCACTCAAATATTTACATATCGATCCTACTAGTTTTTGTCTTTCTATCTTGCATTAATGTAATAGCAATTACCATGCATCTCCACGTAAAATTATTTTTGTTTGTATATACGTAAAACATATTGATGATATATATAGTATCTATTTTACTATATTTTGGTAATAGATTTGATAGATGCAAATAAAGATGGAATAATTACCTGAAGCGAAGAAGGATCGTCACAATCCTTATCATCGAGACGATATTCATGCATAACCCAATCCGTACGGATCCCTTGAGGAGCTCTTCCTCTATAATAAACCAAAGTCTTCTTCATCCCAATCGCTCTGCTCTGACTCGTTACTCTTCGATCTTTCCCAGTCGATTTCCAGTATCCACCTCTCGTTGCTCGGTTCGTCCTGAATCCGTTCGGATATTTCCGGTCGCGTGGCCCAAAAAAGTACCATTCCGGATCTCTACTTGGTAGAAACGACTTCTCTACAAGTTGTTTTGACGATCGTAACAGTTAAAAATAAGATCATAACAAATATAATTCAACGATAAGAGTATGAATGGAAAGACATGAAGTTTTCTAAGAATGTATATATAATATATGTACCTGCAAGGTCCCATGGTTCACATTTGTAGAGATCAACCTCAGGGATTATATCAAGCTCGATTTCTTGACCGTTGATCTTTCTTTTCAGATAATAGTTTACAAGTTCTTCGTCGGTCGGATGAAATCTAAAGCCTGGAGGCAATCCTACCGGAGCCATAACTCTCGCAGACAATTACAATGTCGGGTTCTTGTGAAGTTCACCTCGTTTGTATTCTCTTACTCAAAATTCTGTATATATATATACACACCAACTTTTATGGTCACTAAATTGATTAATTAATTAATGTTTTCTTTACTTGTATAGTTATATATATATCTATCTCGCTCTGTCTTTTTTCTCTCTTCTTCCTTTCTTTTTGTTGTTTTTATCTTTTGCTTTATCTTTTTTGGAGATTCTTGACAAACGTTACTCGCAAGCTCCTCGCGCTTCCTTCGTTGTACAAAAAGGGTTCGAGTTTGATCGCCTTATATATATTTATATAGTATAGACATAATACATATATGTTTGCGTGATATTGGTCGTGGTCTTGGTATTCCTTAGGTAAATAAATGAAGTATCATATAAATATATAATGACGTCACTAGTAACGATGTAATGTGAACTCGGATACAAAATAATACTAATAATAATGTAACCCTTAATGTTGACTCGTAAAATTTAATGAGAAACATATTGTCTTGTGAACGTATCTTTTTGAAAGCGGAGTTAACGTTTAGAATGAATTAGTTGAAGATACATATAACTAAGGTAGTATCTATGGTGAAAACCTCCTGTCAACAAGAAAGGAATATATAAACAGTCTGAACAATAATCGAGATCTCTGGATCTCAAACAAACTAATTTATATACAACAAAGTTATCTACCACAAAACCTAATAGTATGGTGTTTTTGGGTATTTTCCAAATTTTATCTCGTTGTAGTACATGGATAAATTTGTTTGGTTATTTAGCAATATAAATCTCTCGCTATTCTGTAAACTTCGATAGTCTACTAAATAACATAAAATAATATGTCAGTATAATCATTACTTTAAATTTAAATTGATCATGATTATTCACGCAAATTAGTAACATTTTTTTTATTTATCAAAAACGTAAAATGTAGCAGAGAAAATATAATTTTTAGTCTACATTTTTTTTTCTTGAACATTATTTTTAGTCTAGCTGTGTGACTAAAAATAAAATATAGCAGAGAAAAGATAATTTTTAGCCTACTTGTGTAACCGATATATGTCATATATTAAAATATGCGTGGTAACGTGGGAAGGTGTTCTGCAATAGCATATTCAGTTGCTTTGGTACACACACGGCCATGCAAATTTATGTACTCCATTGTCGGGGAAAAAAATACATATGTAAGTACATAATTAAGATTTAATATTTTATTCATTTAGATTGAAAAATTGCGAAAATTGAAGAGTTCAAAATTTTGTGGAAATTGTAATATCTAAGACTATTCACATTTTTGTGGTAAACTCATCTTTAACGCTCGACCACAACGTCGTTAGATCTAGTTCTCGAGACAAGTTATCTAAACCTCTTTATCCTTATATACTTTTGCAGTTCGTCTTGGGTCATTTATTCACCAATCTTTCTTAAGCTTTTTCTTCTTCATTGTTCTGTAATCAGAAAAAGGGTAGGTTTACAAACGCTTTTAAAAATCATCAATTACTCGGTTAGTCGGTTTGCATTGACGTAGCTTGCTGGCTTAACCTCCATCACTCCACATTCATGAGTCATGTGAAAGAAACGTGGGCTTAACCGAGATGGGCCTTGAAATTTTTGGTGTAGTGGTCTCAGTAGATCCATTATGTAGAAATAGTCTCAGTAGATCCATTATGTAGAAATAGTCTCAGTAGATCCATTATGTATAAATTTTTGGTGTAATGGCCTATTTATCATGCAACATGTCTAACAATCATGCAACATAGTCTCTTACAATAATGGTCCTTCGAAGGTCTAACAACGACTTGTCAATAGTTAGTTCTCCAACTAAATATATATCCAGGTTTTGGTTTCGGTTTAACTATTTCGACTAGATTTTGATCGGTTTATTTATTTATTGTGGTTTATTTGGCCACGTACGTATTTGCAATTCTGAGGATCGTATCGGTTATTATCTCCATGCAATAATGCAATCCAAAAAGTTAGATACTGAGCCTAAAAATGAAGAAAACTGATGTGGATAACTATAAATTAAGATAGCCACAATTCCACGTAGGAATTGTAATAATAACTATTTATATGGACTTATGAAGAAAACTGGTGTGGTTAAGGATTTTTCCCCTTTCTTTCATGCGTGTGCCGGTGGAGAGCGATTTTCATGATCTTGCGGTTCTATCCGCTATTAGAGAAAAGAAGCTTGCGCTGCTATCACAGCGCTGGGCACTAGAGATGGAGATATGGGTCGTAGATGATATTGACCTAATTAATGGTAACGATGTGTCATGGAATAAGTTTTTAGCAGTGGACATGGGGTTACACTTTCCACCAGGTTCAGATCATGTTTTCGAGAATGGCGAGTTTCTCCATCGACGAATATAATAAAGTCGCTATATATGGTGTGGGATACTAACCCTGATTGGGACCAATTAAGAGACTGGGGAATTCCGTATCATTACGGTATACATTGTTGGAGAGGATTATTTCAGAGAAGTCGTTATTGGAGATCATGCAGATTGTTGGCCTCTTACGCAGAGTTATGTTCCTGGTTTGCTTCATATCTAGTTCTTGCATCCTTTTTATGTCTCTTTCCCGTGCCGTATTTTATTTGAGTTTGAGTTTTGTTGTTGTTGTTGTAAATCACCATTTAACTTTATTGGCTCCTTCATGGCTTCATGGATACTGATGAACTCAATTAGTACAAATTAGGAATTTGTGAGCCATCTAAGTTTTAATAACAGCATTTCTGCTAATTCCCTATTTTCCAAACATCACTTATGTATAGTTATGTTCCTAGTTTGCTTCATATAATCTAGTTCGGGTTTTGCTATTCTTTTTTTTTTTCTGCTATTTCGGGTTTACTTCATGAAGCCTTTTATTTTTGAGGAAATTGTTGTCTTTTTCTTTGAAACTATTAAAAAATAATACATATAGTTTTATGTAATCTTCATGTCGGAACCAGAAAACAAAATGTACTACTTTTGGCAAATATAAATTATCTGAAACTCAATTTCATCACACACACAATTTTAATTAGACTGTTTCTTTTAATTCAAATAATAAAACAACACTTTTTAGTTGTTTGTTTTTACCATAACTATTATTTCTGATTTTTTTCTATTACCTCAATTGGTTGTAACGAATATTGTATGCGCATGTGCCGTGTATATATATATATATATAGATATATATATATATATAACTAGAAGCGTGTTTCGTGAAGAAGTTGTGAGAAGGAAGACGATGAAATTGAGTATGGAATTTTTTTTCTTTCTAAAAAGTAACCGACTAATCACATATAGACATATTTAGGGTTCTTAACTTCTTATAACATTTCTTAAAGATTTTAATTAAGAATAGACTCTTATCAAAATTACATTTTAAAGATTTTTTTTTTTAATTTAAGAAACTCTTAAAGAATCATCAATGGACATGCTTTTACAACTACTAACTTATGAGAGCATTTGCATCAAAAGTATATCACAAAGGTATCTAGTGAATAAAAGAAAAAAAAAATAATGAAAAAGGAAGAAAGAAAATAAAGTGGGATTTTCAAATGAGAATTTGTAAGATATATATATATATATATATACATTGTGTTAATAAGCCCGTGGTCTTCAATTTGCTGTATATATCTTAGTGCTATATAATTGACACTCTTCTTTATTTATTTTTTGTTTCTTCACATTTTCTACTATTTCGTTTATTTATATTTATTATTATGATCTTAGTGACGGAAACGTGGATCCCAAGCCGGTTCTAGTTCACTTTTGTATCATCGACTAAGCCTCCTCAATCAGTAATCATATAATCGGTCTAAGACTTTCTTATTATATATATATATATATATATATTCTCTGTTTTCTTTTCTTCATCTGATCTTGAGTATAATTCTTTTTATCATTTTTAATTCTCTTATTATTAAAAGGCTTACTAACCCCCTCATTTTTCTGGTAACGAACCTTGAAGATATATTATATATACGAGAATTATTTATTGGGTATTTTTTTTTTCGTTGTTAAAAAGTCATCAGCCTTTATTTTTAATTTTGAGATTCTTTTTGCTATCTTGTTTCGGTTTAACTATTTCGATTTGATTTTGATCGTTTTTTTTTCTCCATTGTGGTTTATTTGGCCATGCACGTACGTATTTGCAATTCTGAGGATTGTATCAATAATTAACTCCATGCAAAGATGCACTAAAAAATGCTGGATACTGACTACTGAGCCTAGGAAGGAAGCAGACTGATGTGGATAGTTACAAATTAAGATAGCCTCAATTCTACGTAGAAATTGTAATAATAACTATTTATAGTTTTCGATATATGTGGATAACTATTTATGTTTTCGATATACATGTGTAAAAATATATATATTCATTGAATTTTAACATATTGTTAATACAAATAAAAAAACATAAAATTTAAAAAGATTTTTTGAAAAAATTATATAAGCATTTAATTTATTCTTCAATCAATTTACAATTTTTTTAAATGCATATTTTATCACAATTTTTTGACTAGAAAACATAAAATTTTCTAAGTAATAATCGTTTGATAAAAAAAATTGAAAATATAAATAAACAAAATAAATATAGATGAATTGACTAAAGAAAAAAAGCAGAAACACAAAAAAAAATATATACAAAACAAAATTGAGCAAATTATAAACATAAATAAAGTAAATTGTAAGCATAAATACTAAAAAATAACAAAAAACATTATATTTGTAAATAATCAAAGAAGAGTAATGATGAGAAATTAATTAAAATAGAACCACGTATGTGTAGCCAAGAAACAAGAAACCTATTGTTGATCAGTTCAAAACTTTTTGGACTAATCATGCAAATGATCTTCTTCTCTTCATGTCATACGTTTTGTAGTCTTATAGTTGAATTGTTGAGATGCAACTTGCAGATTAGTGGGGGAAATAAAAACAATATGTAGTAATTTTATAACCAATTTTATCAGGTTTAAAAATCAACCATGATAACACGTCGATGTTATTCCCTAAGTTGTATGTATCATCAACCAATATACTAAATAAAGGATTTAAGTTAAAACAATAGTAATTAATATGTATGGAATATGCAATAGATGCCACAGTCCTCATAATTTCTTTGTTTTCCTTTTGTATTTTTAGTAAAAGGTGAATTCACTTTTGACGTTGGACGAACGCAAAAGTGAAACAATCTATCCAAAACCAAAATTAAAAAGATTACACTCCCGTAAGTGGTAAAAATGAGAAGCCGAAAGCTAATACACAAACTAATTTCACATACCAAAATTATTGCAAAGGTTCAAGAAGAAGTGACTAGTTTGCAAATATCAAAAAAAAAAAAAAAAAAAAAAACCAAAATACTGCAAATCCTAATTACAATTAATTTGGCTACGTACGTCCGATTTATGAAATGCAAATCATAATTACAATTAATGGGTAGTTGAATAGGTTTGTTGCAACATCAGTTTAACCTTAAACATCAATATATTCACTCGTACAAGTAGGATAAAATGATGTTATACATCAATTTTATATTTTTTTACAGTGAAAAATAGGTTTAAGTGAAACATTAAGCTTTAAACTATCTCTATCTTATAAACACAGTAACACTACCAGTGACACAACCACCAAGCTTGTACCATAATCGTCAATTCGTCATCAAGAATGAAGATTACAATCTAAAGGCTGACACTAGGCTGAGCAGTGCCTCCGAAGCCGTCTCCTTCGGTATCTCCAAGCCACTTGAATCTGCCTAGCCGCTCGTAGTCTCCAATAAGGAGACTCGTACCTAATGGCTCCTTGCACTCGATGGCTCCTCAAGAATCTTGAAAACAAGCTCGTCACGTCTTCAAGATCTGCTACGCACAGCGAAAACGCCTCCACGTTTGTCACGCACCTAACGTTTCTGTTGCTAAGCAATCCCTTCGATGGCATCCTTATCCTCGTTCCATCTGCAGGTTTCAAAGCATATACAGTTCGTAGCTTCTCCTTATCATGCAGTATTGCCATCTAAGGTTTATGTTTCGAGTTTTTTTTTTCGCCCAAAACATGTAAAGAGTTAATAACTATACCAGGGTTTACAGAAGAGCGTTCGAGGCACCAAGTGAGAAGCTCTTCACCACAAACGTCTCCTTCTGATAATGGCAGAACAGAACCGTCTTCTCCAATGCTCTCCATCTCACCTCTCACTATGAATACCATTTTCTCAATTAGACCTCCTCGGTGCAACACCGTGCTACTCCCTATGTATGTTCTCTGTTTCAGCCTCTCACGGATTGAATCTAAGACTGATTCATCCATCAACGAAAATATCCTCACCTGCAAACCCAGTATTATTTAAAAAATCCACCCCATTTAATCCACTTAAGTTTCAGAGAGAGAGAGCCATTGTGAGGGAAATTGACTCTGATGTTTACCTTCTTGAGAAATATGAAAAGGTGTCGTCTTATATCTCTTTGAAGGTCATCAGGCATATTCCCAAAGAGCAATTCCTCGTTAACTCCTCTGGTAGCAGCCCAGTTGAACCGCTCAGCCTCTCTCACCCTCCTGAAGTGTAGACACAACTATTCAGTTAGCTTAAGAGTGACATTACAGAGCCTGAGACAATATAGTTCTTCAGAAAGTATTATTCAACTGAGAGGCGAAGTTTAATAAGGCATAGTCCACATACTTTCTTATACCCTCTGGCAACCGTCTATGGCTCATCCATTGCTCCACATCGCGCCGTCTTAGCGTCATTTCCATATTCCTAAGATGCACATAGCACAATCCACTAGGTGATTTAGAGAAACATCCACAATGTCTTGAGGTATCTTCTTTTGTACAATGATGGAGTTAACTTACCTTCGACCGAGAGCTTGAAGGAAGTTCTGCATATTACCAATAAGAAGCGCGAAAAGCAAGAGCCCCAGTCCAATAATGCCCATGGTAAAGAAGACTTCCCCAAGAAAGTAACTTGGTTCTTGGTTTCCAGCAAGCGTGCTGATTTGCTTTGAGGTTCATACACAATTGACATTAGTTCAGAATTCCAGATACACTCAATGCAAACTAGTTCAGTAACTTTTTTTAACAGTTGTATAATACGTCTGTTACGAAAACTTGAATAAACCCAAGTACCTGGAAACCCCAGAAAAGAGAGTAACTGTATCTTGTGAAGAGACTAGTATAATTCGTAAGATTGACCGCCTTTAGATATATCCCATAAGGAAAGCCATCCTCTTGAAAACAAGCAGAGGCACTCTCATTAACTCTCCAGGCAGCTAACGCTGATTCGCTATCTCCACGACCACAATCTATAAGATCTCTGCATCCATGGTCAGAATTACCGCAGGCATTTCGAAGGCATTGATTAACTCTCTGAAAGAGACAAAAAGGAAAAGGGAAGCAGACAAAATGAGAAGAATCTCTAAATCACTGGAAATATATATACATCCTCTGTTGGTTATGACAAGATAAGTAATTCAAGAAGAGAAAGGACATTAGATTAAAGTGAATGATGTAAATTTTGAAACTCTGCCATACCTGCAAACCAAAAAGATACCAGCAAGATCCAACAACATGACCAGCAAGCATGAAGGTGAGAAGATTAATAACAAAATTAGCCCAAGCCGACTCGAATATGAAGCCCGTAGGTGTTTGTCCAGCAAGAAGTGGTAGAAGCCTGTATAACTTTGGGATGTATTGGAAAAGAACTGCAGCGCGTAATAGGTTTTTCGCATAGTTTGCTCCAGATGCGCCTAAGTGTGCTGGTATGATCCATACTATCAATATCTGTAAACATAAGAATCAACCTGCGTTACAAAATGAACACATATATACCGACTGTACTTTCACATAAGAAGTTTTAAAATACCTGTGGAAGTGGCATCACTATGAACAAGTCTAGTAAAAACTTTCCACGGAAGTAGTGGCGAGCAATTTTCCCAGGGTGATCAACCAACTGACCAGCACCAACAACCGTAGACTCAGGAGCTACATAGGCCAATCGAAACTGCAACAAAATGCATGAGAGAAGAAAGCATTAAGAGCCAACAGATTTCTCTTAACAAGAAACGGAAGCAAAAGGAATACACACCTGAAGCAGAATGTTCGCTGAGAATAAAATATCCGTTAAACTTCTCACAGCCACGAATGTTTTAGCCATAGGCCAATCAATCACAATGCATTTGTTGTTCTGCAGTATGAAATACGTTCTTTTTTTTAAAAGGGTGCTCAGACATAACACAAGAGAAGAAGCAAAAGAGGTAGAGAAAGAGAGCTAAAACACACCTGTTCGACTAATATGAGGAAGAAGAAGAGTGGGTCTATGAAAATAGCCAACAAGCACGAGAGGGCAAAGAATTTAGTCCAGCTCTGAACGAATTTGGAGTGAGGATTCATGATTCCTGGTAAGTATCTATTAACAGAGGTAGTAAATCGCCTTGCCCAGCCTTTAGCATCATCATACAGAGCATTGTGGAACTAGGCAAGATAAAGAAAGAGACTCTGTGTCAGCAACATTTTTTTATACTTGGTTCTCAAGTGTGAAGTGAAGTAAGGAAGTCAAATACCGTGGAATCAAAAATGGCGGAAACTCTGGAAATGGGTATTTGGGCAGCTTTGCGATTGTAGTAAGAAGGACAAGTGGTGCAGTAAGGATCATTACACATACCCAATTGCCCAGATCTCAAAAGATTCGCGTGTTTCTTGACGAATTCGTCGTCGGAGTTTTTGTGTTCGAGCGCAGGGAAAGAAGGGTACCTCTCCGGCTGAGAGGAGACACCGGCGGAACCAGAAGAATCAGGAGGAGGGAGAAGGAAGACAGGCGCGGGACTGCGAGTAGAGGTTAGAGGACCACTCATTTGCACTAGCGGAGGTCTTCTCGTGGTTCGAAGAGGACCCGTGTAGCCTAAAACCACACTCGAGCTGTCGAATCCATCGGTGGAGGAAGTAGGGTTTGAGAGGGAAACGCTGCGATTCCAAGCCCTAGCGCGAGACGATGAGCTTGAAATTGGAAGCATGGGAATGTCATCGTTTTCGTTCGGGGAAGCCATTTTTCGCAACTGATTTCGAGTTTGATAAAGGTTTGAAGAAGAAGAAAAAAGTGGAGGAGACCCAGAAACCAAAAGGAAGTTAAGGTATAAGGGAAAAATCTGAGGAGGAAAAGGAGAAGAAGACGAAGCAGAGAGACTTTAGAGACAAAATCTCCCAATTGGGAAATTGAGAAGAAGTAAGGAAGGAGACGAGGACAGGGTCTGTGTCGAATCATAGTCAAGCAATTGTATTTATTATTATAATCGATCCATAATATAGTACAGAGTGTGAACGCGAAAAGAACAATGCCACGTCAGAAGAAATCAAGACATTTCTGCCAACAAGACTGACTTTTATTACCTGGATTTTTTTTATTATTTCTTTTTGGTCGAAGACTGGGAGATTTCCTGGATTTTTGTATTGTTAATGGAAAGAAATCGATTGGATTTTACTAGTACTAAATAAAATATTGCGAAAATAAGGGGGGAGATTAAAAATGCTAATTCTTTGCCTTTTATATATGCACGGTGTCATTAAAAATTCCATTATTCGATCACAACCGTTATTAATTGGAGGCAAATTGCCGTTAATCACTTCTCTTTCCCTATCCGAACTTCTTTCAGTATAATAAGCTCAATATGAAATGGGCCGACAGGCCCATTTACTTAGTCCACGCGGTTTTGAATTTTTGAACTTATTTTAACGAATGCTTTCACATAAAATCTTCATAGGTTTTGTTCCGTTTTAGGCTTATATAGCCATAAACCGCAAAGACACCTGAAATGAGATAATACAATATGATTGGAAAACGTACCTTCACTAAAACAAAATTTTCATATCACTGATGAATGAATCATTAAGTCATCTTCTTTTTTACAACCCTTATACGTAAATTCCTAGTTTACCAAACCAAATATCATCAAATTCATCCTCAAGAGTGTAGAATACAAACAAATCTAACGGCTGGAACTGGACTAAACAGTGTACAATCTCTGAAGCCGTCTCCTTCGATATCTCCAAGCAACCTGAATCTGCATGGCCGCTCGTAGCCTCCAATAAGGAGACTCGTACCTAATGGCTCCTTGCACGCGATGGCTCCTCAAGAATCTTGAAAACAAGCTCGTCACGTCTTCAAGATCTGCTACACTCAGCGAAAACGCCTCCACGTTTGTCACGCACCTAACGTTTCTGTTGCTAACCAGTCCCTTGTGCGGCATCTTTATCCTCGTCCCATCTGCAAGTTTCAAAAACATACTTAATTAGTTCCAAGCTTCTCCCTTAGTGAAGTGTCTTGTAAAAATTTCTCATAATGTTTCAAGTTTGTAACGCCAAAACTCAGCTATGAGAGCAAATGGGACAAACCGGGATTCACAGAAGAGCGTTCGAGGCACGAAGTGAGAAGCTCTTCACCACAAACGTCTCCTTCTGATAATGGCAGAACAGAGCCGTCTTCTCCAATACTCTCCATCTCACCTCTCACTATGAATACCATTTTCTCAACTAGACCTCCTCGGTGCAAAATCGTGCTACTCCTTATGTAAGTCCTCTGTTTCAGCCTCTCACTGATTGAATCCAAGATTGATTCATCCATCAACGAAAATATCCTCACCTGCAAACCCAAAAAACACTTCAAAATCTTACAGTCTCAGCTATGGATAAATATTAGGTCTAAGTAAGTACACAAATAGAGAGAGAGAAAACCATGCATAGGGAATGCTCTCGTTGTGCTGATGCTTATTACCTTCTTGAGAAATTTGAAAAGATGACGTTTTATATCTCTCTGAAGATCTTCAGGCATATTCTCAAAGAGCAAGTCTTCATTAACTCCTCTAGTAGCAGCCCAATTAAACCGCTCAGCCTCTCGCACCCTCCTGAAAATATTGAATGCATAATATTTTTGAGTTAAATCAGCTTTATGGTCATATCATAAACATTGCCTAAGAAAATCAAATGACACAGTGCACAAACTTTCTTATATCTTCTGGCAGAAGTCTATGGCTCATCCATTGCTCCACATCACGACGTCTCAGCATCATTTCCATCCTCCTAAAACAGGACAAGCACAAACCATCATCATATCATTTTGATGAATTTGAAAAAGCAATGCACCATCTCTCTTTAAAGAAAAAAAAACATTAGACTGATGAAGTATGTATTTACCTTCGATCGAGAGACTGAAGGAAGTTGTGCATATTACCGATTAGCCGTGCAAAAAGCAAAAGCCCTAATCCAATGATACCCATTGTAAAGAAAACTTCCCCTAGTGAGTAGCTTGGAGATAGGTTTCCACAAAGCGTGCTGATTTGCTTTCAGAGTTGTAAACAACTTGGCATTAAAAGTGATTTAAAGACCATCTAATAGTTGTAACATCAGTCGAATTTTTCAGTGAGTGAAACTAATATTGAGTCTTAATATACCTGGAATCCCCAAAACAGAGAATAACTGGATCTTTTGAAGTAAATAGATTCATTGGTAAGATTGACTGCCTTGAGATAGATCCCATAAGTAAAACCACTCTCTTGAAAACAAGCATCAACATTCGCACTATGTTTCCAGAGATCTCGTAGTGTCTCCGATGCTTTGCTTACACGAGCACAATCAAGAAGGTTTCTACGTTCACCCACTGAAATATTCCCAACTTTTAGCAGGCATTTCTTAACTCTCTGAAAGAAAGAAAAAAGGATCAAAGAAAATGGGAAAGCAGACAATGAGAAGAATCTATAATATATAAAGAACACGATTCTGAAGAGACTGACTTATATATATACCTGAAGCCCTGCAAGATACCAGCAAGCGCCAACAGCGTGACCAGCAAGAACAAAGGTGAAAAGATTGATAAAGAAGTTAATCCAAGCCGACTCAAATATGAAGCCTGTCGGTGTTTGTCCAGCAAGAAGAGGTAAGAGTCTATATAACTTTGGAATGTACTGAAAAAGCATTGCAGCTCGTATAACATTTCTCTCAGCTTCTGTCCTTGGTGTGCCTAAGTGTGCTGGTAACACCCATAGTATCAGTATCTACAAACAAACAAAAAGAGAGCTCTTCGAATTATAACATTAATTACTCAAAAACATTATTTGAAGGTTTCAACACTATACAATACCTGTGGAAGGGGCACCAATATGATTAGGTCAAGTAGAAACTTTCCACGGATGTAATGGGCAGCAATTTTTCTTGGATGAGCAACTAACTGCCCTGCACCAACTATTCTAGACTCAGGAGCTACATAAGCCAAACGAAACTGCAACAAATGTATAACCAAAAAGAAACATTAAAAGCCAATATGAAAAAGTTCAAAAAAATAAAAAACATTAAAAGCCAATTACATTTCCTTATAATTAAGAGATGGGAGCAAACAAAGTAAGTAAACACACCTGAAGAAGAATGTTAATGAAGAATATAAAATCCGTTAAACATCTAACGGACACCAATACTTTAGTCGTAGGCCAATCGATCTCTATGCATCTGTTGTCCTGCATGCAGTCAATAAGACGGTGTGTTCAAAAAGGCAACAAAACATATAAACCCTAGACAAGAGATTGAGAAGGAAACATACATGTCGGATTAACAAGAGGAATAAGAAGAGGGGATCTACAAAAATAGCCAGCACGCTTGAGAAGGCTAAGACTCTAGTCCATCCTTGAACGAATTTGGAATGAGGATTCATGATTCCAGGTACGTATCTACGAACAGAGGAAACAAATTGCCTAGCGCAACCTCTAGCATCATCATACAAAGCAGTGTGGAACTGAAACAAGGGGGAGAAAAAAAGGAGGAAAAGACTCTTTGTGTTAACATTGACTTGAGGCTCAAGCTATTTAAAAATGGGTAAGTAAAAGTAAGACACACGTACCCTAGAGGCTGAAACCTTGGAAGTGTGGAACTGAGCAGCTTGGCGGTTGTAGTAAGAAGGACAAGTAGTACAGTAAGGATCATTACACATCCCTAACTGGCCAGATCTCAAGAGATTAGCGTTTTTTAAGACAAGATCATCTTCTTCTTCTTCAGAAGGAATATCAATAATGGAAGATGATTCAGGAGGTTGAATAGGCGAGGGAGAGAAGAGAGGTTCAGGTCTGCGAGCAGAGGAAAGAGGACCACTCGTTTGAATTAAAGATGGTCGTCTTCTCTCGGTTCGAAGAGGACCTGTGTAGCCTAAAACCTTAGTCGAGCTCTCGAATCCGTCACTATAGAAAGTTGGATTTGAGAGTGAAACGCTACGATTTTTGGAAGTGAAAGACTTAGTGTGAGCACGAGATGTTGATTCAGGAATCGGATGAAGAATGGGAAACTCGTCGTTTTCGTTTGGGGAAGCCATTTCCAGACGAATTCGTGAAGACAAAGTTTTCGTTTGCTTTCTGCCTTTATTGTTTATAGTTTATATATATACTCGAGTCGAACATTGTAGAAACTCGATTCGACTCAAAATGAAATGTTACATTTGGAACGAAGCTTCACTGAGAGTATATATAAACTATAAACTATAAAGCAAAAGAGGACTTCAAGAAGTTGCCTTTTGTGTTTATTTAACATTTCCCAATATTCCCCAGTTTTACTTTTTCAAGATTGTGAATTTTGTATATTTTTTTCGCGAAATGATTAAATCTTAGAAAATTGTTAGATAACGAATAATGTAAAACTTTCACAATTAAGATTCAAAATCAGGTTACCTACTTTAAAAAGGAATTTTTCAATGCAATTTTCTGTATTAACAAATAATTAAAGAGTCCGCGTTCCTGAAATAAAAATAAGCTCCTTTTAATTCTCTCTACTTACCCTCCCACGGCCCCACCAGTTGCAGGTCTTGTGTTCTTTTCTTTATGTAAAAGAGACGATGAAATTAGATAATAAGTTACTTTTCATTTTATAAACGCACGTTTTTATTCATATATATTAGCAAACTACAGTATATGTTAGATTAATAATAATTGACATTAGTGATGGGTTTTCTGGATATAAAATTGTCATTTGCCACCAACTACACGTCTAAACGCTAATCCTTTTTCTTTTCTGTCAGTAAAATTACGGGTAGGCACTTCGGTTTTTGGTTTAGTTTTGGTTCAGTTTCTTCAGTTTTACAGTTTATCGGTTTTATGAAAATTCAAACCATATAAAAGCCATATATATTTTGATTCGGTGTGGTTTGGTTTGATATGGTTTGGTTTCAGTTTTTTGGAATTATATTATTACGAAAGTTTTTGATTCAAACTAATAGAAATAATAATAATAAATACGAGTGAAATGAAACAATAAATCTAAAAAATAGAATCTGAATCATAAAAAATTTATCAATAAGGACAGATTTCAAAACAGAGAAACAAACAAATTATCAAATCTTTCATAATCAATAATTATAAAACAATAAACAAATCTAGATTAAAATTCAATACCTATAACCTTTGAACTAGAGCTAGAAGATTTGAATGTGAAGAAAAAGAGTTAATTACGTTTTTCTTTATTGAAAAATTAAGGTTTACTTTATTATTTATATGTTTATAAATATTATATTTTAAATTTATGAGTTAAGTTAGTAAATTATAAAGATAACTAAGTCCAATAATAAAATATATACCTAAACTAAATTAAGAAACTAGGAAAATATAAATTATTTAAAATTTAATTTTAAAACCGAAAAAACCTTTCGGTTTGACTGTTTTTAACCAAACCAAACCTGAACCAAAACTATAAAAAATGATAGTTAAATGAATATTTAGGTTTAACGATAACCAAACCATATCACTTTTTCGGTTATAGTTTTTGTGTTCACCCCTAAATAAAAATAAAATGACCGAAACTCGAGTGTGTGGTTTTTAAAATTTGATGCTGCAAATAAAATTAGAGTGATTCAATACTTTTGTTTAGTCTTCTGTACGTGTTAATGTTATTAGTCATTTTGGTAGTAAAATCGTGAACCAAATTATCTTATTCAACTTTCATATTACTAATGAATGAATCATTAAGCCATCTTATATATCTTACAACTACAGATTCAACAACCACAATGCTTTATACGTAAATTCCTACTTAACCAAACCAAATATCATCAAGAACATCTAAAGGCTGGGACTGGACTGAGCAGTGTACAATCTCTGAAGCCGTCTCCTTCTATACCTCCAAGCCACCTGAATCTGCATGGCCGCTTGTAGCCTCCAATAAGGAGACTCGTACCTAATGGCTCCTTGCACTCGATGGCTCCTCAAGAATCTTGAAAACAAGCTCGTCACGTCTTCAAGATCTGCTACACTCAGCGAAAACGCCTCCACGTTTGTCACACACCTAACGTTTCTGTTGCTCACCAAGCCCTTGTGCGGCATCTTTATCCTCGTCCCATCTGCAAGTTTCAAAAACATATTCAGTTCCAAGCTTCTCCGTTAGTGAAGTTTCTTGAATTGTTTCAAGTTTCTAACGGCAAAGGTGTGAGCAAAAGGGACAAACCGGGGTTTACAGAAGAGCGTTCGAGGCACCAAGTGAGAAGCTCTTCACCACAAACGTCACCTTCCGATAATGGCAGAACAGAGCCGTCTTCTCCAATACTCTCCATCTCACCTCTCACTATGAATACCATTTTCTCAACTAGACCTCTGCGGTGCAAAACCGTGCTACTCCTTATGTAAGTCCTCTGTTTCAGCCTCTCTCTGATTGAATCCAAGATTGATTCATCCATCAACGAAAATATCCTCACCTGCAAACCCAATAACACCTTACAGCAGTGTTAATCTCTACACAGTTATATTCAGAACAAATTCTTTTTGAAAGTAGACAGAAAAGAAATGGATTCTGATTTAGTGCAATGTTTTCATTCTCACCTTCTTGAGAAATTTAAAGAGATGACGTTTTATATCTCTCTGAAGATCCTCAGGCATATTCTCAAAGAGTAGTTCCTCGTTAACTCCCCTAGTAGCAGCCCAATTAAACCGCTCAGCCTCTCGCACCCTCCTGAAAATGTTGAACAAACTATTAACTTTATTCTATAGTGACATTTACATAACCTGACTTTATAAAACAGAGTACACAAACTTTCTTATATCTTCTGGCAGAAGTCTATGGCTCATCCATTGCTCCACATCACGACGTCTCAGCATCATTTCCATCCTCCTGAAACAGGACAAAGCACAAATCATCATCTCACATTTCTTTTGAAACAGTATTTGATGAAATGTGCATGTACCTTCGATCGAGAGCTTGAAGGAAGTTGTGCATATTACCGATAAGGCGCGCAAAAAGCAAAAGGCCGAGTCCAATGATACCCATTGTAAAGAAAACCTCCCCCACTGAGTAAGTTGGTATTAAGTTTCCACAAAGCGTGCTGATTTGCTTTCATATTTTTTTAAAAATTTTGACATTAGGTTAAGAGTAATGTAAAAGACTACTAGTTTCAACATCAAACAAACTTTTTCAGGTAAAAAATATTTACCTGGAATCCCCAAAACAGAGAGTAGCTGTATCTTGTGAAGAATTCAGATTGAGTGGTAAGATTGACTGCCTTGAGATAGATTCCATGAGTAGAACCATTCTCTTGAAAACAAGCATTGACACTCTCACTACCTCTCCACATAGCTCGTAGCGACTTCGGTTCATAGCTTCCACGAGCACAGTCAATAAGGTTTCTACGTTGTACCACAGATACATTCTCAGCATTCAGAAGGCACTTCTTAACTCTCTGAAAAGAAGAGCAAAACAAAAAAAGCAGGAAATGAGAAGATTCACTAGAAATTGCCAAGATAAAGATCTTTAAGACACGGACCTGAAGTGCTGCAAGATACCAGCAAGCCCCAACAGCATGACCAGCAAGCATGAAGGTGAGAAGATTAATAACAAAATTAGCCCAAGCCGACTCAAATATGAAACCGGTCGGTGTCTGTCCAGCAAGAAGTGGTAGAAGCCTGTATAGCTTTGGGATGTATTGGAAAAGAACTGTCGTGCGTATAATGTTTTTCTCTGATTCTGCCCTCGCTGTGCCTAAGTGTGCTGGTATTATCCATAATATCATTATCTGGTAACAAAGGAGAAACATCTTCGAGTTTAACATTTCTCAAACAAACATTTCTTGAAAAGGTTAGAGATTCTACAGTACCTGTGGAATAGGTAACACTATGAACAGGTCAAGGAAAAACTTTCCTCGGATGTAATTGCGAGCGATTTTTCTTGGATGATCAACTAATTGGCCTGCACCAACTATTCTAGACTCAGGAGCTACGTAAGCCAAACGAAACTGCAACAAAAGAAGCATTAAAAGCCATAACATTTCTATACATATAGGATATGGGAGCAAAGGAGACACACCTGAAGAAGAATGTTAATGGAGAATATAAGGTCAGATATACTTCTGAGAGACACAAATGTTTTAGTCTTGTGCCAATCAATCTCTATGCATTTGTTGTCCTGCAGTAGTAAATGGTGATCAAACTCCATGATAAACACTAGATTGATAATAGAGCAAGAGAAGGAAACATACGTTTCGGATTCGTAAGAGGAATAAGAAGAGGGGATCTATAAAAATAGCCAGCAAGGTTGAGAAGGCTAAGAATCTAGTCCAGCCTTGAACGAATTTTGAATGAGGATTCATGATGCCAGGTACGCATCTACGAACAGAGGAAGCAAATCGCTTAGCCCAACCTCTAGCATCATCATACAGAGCAGTGTGGAACTAAAACAAGAATGAAGGCAAAGACTTTCTTTGTGTCAGATACTATGGCTGACATTTACTTGAGTTACAAGCTATTATAGAGGAGTGAAGTAGTTACCCTGGAGGCAGAAACTCTGGAAGGGTGGAATTGAGCAGCTTGGCGGTTGTAATAAGAAGGACAAGTAGTACAGTAAGGATCATTACACATCCCTAGTTGTCCAGATTTCAAGAGATTAGCGTTTTTCAAGACGTAATCATCTTCAGGCGGAACATCAACGGTAGAGGAGGAATCAGGAGTTTCAATAGGAGAGGGAGGGAAGTGAGATTCAGGTCTGCGTGTAGAGTAAAGAGGACCACTCATCTGCACTAAAGGAGGTCGTCTTCTCTGTGTTCGAAGAGGACCTGTGTAGCCTAAAGGCACGCTTGAGATGTCGAATCTGTCGGTGGAGAGAGTTGGGTTTGAGAGGGAAACGCTACGATTCGTGGAAGTGAAAGCTCTGTTGTGAGCACGAGATGTTGCTTCTGGGATTGGAAGAAGAATGGGAAACTCGTCGCTTTCGTTCGGGGAAGCCATTTTCTAAACGAATACGCCGAGATAAAGTACGAGAAGCAGGTTTCAGATGTAAAAGAAGACGAGGATGACGAAGAAGAAGAAGAAGAAAGGAAGGAGACGATGACAGAGACTAGGTTTTGGATTTAGCCCATCAAGAAGCAAGTGTTCGTTTTACAAGGTAAAGGGAGAACTTTAAGAAAGACATATCGAGCTTCAGGAATTTCTCGATTCGTCAAGATGAAAAAAAATATGTTAAAACATTTGGGATCTTCTGTTGAACACAGAACCCATCAACGAAACTTCAAAATGGCTTCGTTTTATTTTAAAATAAAATAAAGCAAAGTTGAGAGAGAGAGAGAGAGAGAGAGAGAGAGAGAGAGAGAGAGAGGAACCTCAAAAAGCTGACTTTGCGTTGCATAAAACGTTAAACAATGGTGCAAACTTTATCTATGAGTTTTTTTTTTTTTACAGACCAAAAGTCAGTCACATGCTGATTTAGTCATATTTCCCATATGAGAATTCTGATTTCTGAGCAGCAGTGAAGAAACGATTTAGCTTTATTGAAACATGTTTAATTAAACTAATCGTTTTTTAAGTAAATCAAGTGCAAACATCTCATAGTAGTCCTAAATCACAGGTTGGTGAAGTCTTGAGATATACTTTTCAACATGGCATAGATTGAAATTCTCACCAAACTCACAGTTTTAGCTTTTCTTAATTGAATTTTCAATTCTAACAAATAATTAGTAGTGTGAATAATCAAAACCGTGTTTCTGAAAAATGAAAATACTAGGTCATTTCTTTACTTACCCTCCTTCCAGGTCCTGCGTTCGTTTTCACGTAAAAAAAAAAAGACGATGAATAAATAATAGTGTATTGTTTACTTTTCCTTTTCAAAAAAGAAGTTAAAGAACCTCTGTTCATTTAGATTGTTGTATGCTACTGTATTAGATCAATAATTGACATTAGTGGTGGGTTTTGCGAATATAAATTATCATTTGTCACCAACTACTCTCTCATGCTTATCTTCTAATGAATGAAATGTAACCACTAAAATTCAAAAAGATGAAAGGCTTTGATTTAATATTAAGCCCAATAGAAAATGGGCCGCAACTGCTAAACCCGAAAACTTAAAGCCACGTGTTGAAATCTGAGTGGTACAAAATTAAAAAACTCGTAGCTTTGGCGGATTTTGCCTGTTATATGCTCTGCACTGATTCAGCTGATCAGACGTGTCAGCTCTCTTCTCTCTCACTATTTCTGGGTTTGTATTTTTCTTCTTCCCACTAAAAATCTTCATAAATCTCCATGATCGAATAATCCTTTTCTGAACATTTATTATGCTATTGTAACTAAAAGCCATCAATGTCTCTCTCTCTGGATCTATGCATATTCGCATTTTCCTTTATAAATTTATTCAAATCACTAACTAAAACAAGTATTCTTCAGGTTGAAGAAGATGAAGAGCAAAGGAACCATGGAAGCTACTCATCCTCCTCCACAGTTACCATCTCTCTCCGGTACGATTTTCTTCCATTTTCAAAATCTCTTCTCTTTCTCCTTTTTGGAGCTTTTTGCATTTTCAAATTTTCAAAACAAAGCATGATGCTACAGAAAACAGTGGGCCCCCTTTTTCTCTCTCTCTTCTCTGCTTTGTCTTTCTCTCTCATCTCTTTCTTGTCTCAAAATGTTGGCAAAACCAGACCTTGAAGCTCGGATGCAAGTCCTGCGTGTATCTGCTTTTGAAGAAAGCAAAGGCGATGATGATACATTTGCTCATCGTGCTGAATGGTTTTACCAGAGGAGACCTCTCCTTCTCTCGCTTTGTCTGGACCTGTACAACGGCTACGTCACTCTCTTGGGCCGTTCTCATCAAACCAAAACTAAGACACCTTCTCATCCTAATCAGCTTCTCGAGGATGAAGACTGCGTTTCAGACATTGATTCCGGTAGTGAGATCAGCTCGGAGAGCACCGTATCCTTTCAGCAGATGCAAGATCCTTCTGCGGTCTCGGAGAAAGTCGATGAGCTTGTATCTCAACTCGTGACTGCAAACTTGGACAAAGAGATTCTGCAGCACGAGTTACTCCACAAGGAGCAGCAGTTTCATGAAGCGTCCAAGACCATAGAGCTGTTGAAGAAGTTCGTCATGTTGCTGGAGATGGAGAAGGAAGTGGCTATAGAGGAAAACGCTAATCTTGGATACAAAGTCACTTCTCTCCTGGAGGAGAACAGAGAGCTAGCCACCGAGGCGTTGTTCATGAAGAACGAAGCTGTTGGGCTCGCTAGGTGTGTGCTTAAGATGAGAGATGACCACTTCCACAAGGTCTGCATTCTCCAGAACCGCATCTACTCGCTTCAAGAATCCAGGAACTCAGAGCCCGTCTATGATAAGGTCTCAGCCGGGTGCTTCGGTCTTGATAAGCAGAAGGCCAAGAAGAAGAAGGAGAAGAAAGGCGAAGAGAAAGCTGGATTCAAGTGGTTCAAGAAGCTCAACAACATCAACCTGTTCACAAAGTGCAGCCTTAACCCATCAGCTGCTGCCGCTGCTCCATCATGCTGCACTCTCAACTTCCCGAATTAGTCTATCCTTTGTTGTATTAGTACACTATGAAAAATGCATACATGTCTGCGTATGTTGTACTGCCTTGTTACGTTTAATGCTTTCTTTTCAGTGCATCTCCTTGATGCACACAGTTTGTTGCAGCGTGTAAACAATTCGTGACTCCTTGATCCACATATGTATGGTTTTCATGACTCACTTATCTGGTAACACACAACAATGTCATGATGATGCTTTTACTGCTTCTATAGAGCTAGGCTGTATTTTAGAAAAAAAACAAAGGCAAAGAGATAATAATGCTGCTTCATCAGGGAAGCTGCTTGATTATCCTCTCTATCATTTTCTCGCTATGCTCTCTCATGCTAAAATCTGAAGGAGCAAACCATATAGTTGGCGACAGCTCTGGCTGGGAACTTCTTGCAAATTTTACCAGCTGGACACAGGGAAGAGAGTTTCATGTCGGCGATGTCTTAGGTACTTTCTCTAAATCATGTACAATGATTCCTGGATACAGAGGAATCAAAGTTGTAAATCCCATCTCTCCTATAGACCTTCACACCAAACTCAAAAGATGAATTCTGTTTATTATGTCTCTCTTCTTCAGCAGTCTTCTGTTCCATATCAATGGTATCAGTTGTTTCCAAAATCCATCTAGCTAAATCCGTCTCTCTTCTTCAACAGTTTTCAACTACAACAGAGACCAGCACAACGTTATGCAGGTTAACTCTACGGCATACGCAGATTGTGGAAGAGACAACTACATCTCTCTCTTCACCAAAGGCAATGACTCAATAGTCATATCAGAGGTTGGAGAGCACTGGTTCATCTGTGCAGTGGACGATCACTGTGAGAATGGCCAGAAGCTAAGTATTGATGTAGTTCCTTGAGTACCGTTTATAATTGATAATGAAAGACAGGTAGCTTGTTGTTTAGGTCGTCTTTAGTACCAAAATGATGTCATTAACTTGAATAATATATAAACAGAGGGTAATCTCATTACCTCTTGAATATACTAATAACCTATACAACCTACTTTGCCACTCTTGAAAAACATTCTACCGAAACACAAAGACATTTATTGCAATTGGTCTAGGCAGAGACAAAAGAATTACCCTTAAAATGACAGATATGTGTAGAGAGCTACTTCCAATTTCAGAATACTTCTATGTCACATCTACTTCAACAGCTTTCTTTTGAAGGTTTGCGATCCGGGCCTGCGAAGATAGTTAAAACACCAACAATATTTGTAAGTTGTCTCGATTAGGTTTCAAATCAGATTATGAAAGTATAAGCAAAAGCACTCGTCTTTGCTAGAGGCATTGTGTGTATGAAACGAAACAAACCTTGAACGTTTTTGATCTGCGAAGAGAAGGATCTATCTCTAGACATTTCGAATATGACTTCTCGGCGTTTTCATATTCACCTTTTGCTACGTAGACATCACCTTGGCAAATGTAGACCTGTTAAGAAGATTTTTAACACAAGCTCTCAAACATTTGAACTCTGAAAACTCCAAAGAGCTTCATCTTTGAGGTGAGACATACCTCAGAAGAGTTAGGAGCTAATGTCAGAGCTCGGCTTATATCTTCAAGAGCACCAGAGTAATCAAGCATTCCCAATTTTGCTACTGCTCTGCAATCACCAAGATTCCAACAATTTACTTACATATACAATCTATGAAGAAACAGTATCCAAGAAACCAATTCAGTAACTTCCGTACCTGTGTTTGAAGATTCTCTGCAAGCCACCGTAAGGTTTCAGCTCTAAAGCCTGCAACAACACGCATCCCTGGTCAAGCTCCAGAAAAGATGGAGAAGGAAAATTATGATACTTTGTAAACTCAAGAAACCTGTGTGAGAAGCGATTCTGCCTCTTGAAAGTTTCCAGCATCGATTTGAGAGAGAGCATTGTTTGTGAGCGCTAAAGCGGCGAGAGCGGCCGTGACGGCGGAGGATGAAGAAGCTTCCCGGCCGTCGCCGCATAGGCTGAATAAGATTTCAGCAGCTCGAGAAGGCGTGGCGCAGTGACGTAGGAGGAGGCCTTGAGGGAGAGCCACGAGGTTCGGACCGGAGCCGCATCGGCCGAGGCAAGCGCAGGGATTGACTCGGACTTCGGGAGGTGCGAGAGCCGTTAACGTCTCCAGAATCTGAAAGGAGCCTTGTTTCCGGCAGGTGCGGTTCGTACAAACTCGAAGCTCCTTCACCGGCTCTCCTGAACTCCGGCAGCTCAACGCCGGCAAAGCAACGGAAGCCATAACGATAGGAGGGTATCTACCTCGAGAGAGAGAGAGACTTTATTCGACCACGTGACAAAATGAAATACGAAACAAACCAAAAATAACTGGTTTAATCCGGTTTGATTACACGGATAATATAAACAATACTATGTGTTCTCTAGAAACCTGTGTGAGAAGCTGGTTCTGCCTCCGGGAAGTTTTCCCGCATCGATTTGAGAGAGAGCATTGTTGGTGAGCGCTAAAGTGGCCGAAGCGTCCCGTGACGGCGGCGGAGGATGAAGAAACTTTCAGGCAGCCTCTTAATTAATGGTGATTCTTCAAAACAAAAAGCAACTGAAATGTTTAACAATCGGTAAGCCAAGCTTTTTTGTGACCCATCTGAAAAAAAACACTAAACCATTTTGCAATGTAAAGGCTTTAAATGTGTTTATACATATTTTATAAACTAACAGAAATAGCATTTTCAATGTTTTTTTTCTAAACTTGTAAATTCAAAATACAGAAGATGTGGCAAGTCCGGAGCAATCATATACACACTGCTAAAAGTCTTGAGCATTCATCATACGGTTTCGGGCAAATCATAATTTTGGATCCACATCGTCGTGTTGGTTTAAGAAGCGGAAACCCATAATGTATCTGTACTCTCCGGTACCAAGACAGCGAGAGCAGTCACATAATCCGCTCCCTCCACAACTCCTGCACCTGTGACCGACCAAACACCCAAACACAAACTCTTTAACTTCTTTAGTTAGAGATACAATGATACTAACATATTTCTCTTCAAATTTATAATACCATTTGGGCCACTCTCCTCTAGGAAGCATTTCCATATCCACGCAATTAGTCCTCCCTTTCAAGTTTCAACCATATATAATCACAAAAAAAAATCAAGAACACGAAAGTTCTGGAGTAGTTATTACGAAGCAACCAAACATCATTAGATGAGACACTAAGAAGCTAATAAGAAGCAGAGACACAATTTCCTTTTCTTTACCTTTCCCGTTACAATTGAAACAATCGACTCTTCCGGTTCCATGGCACACTACGCATCGCCCCTTCGTCTTTCTACTAATATTCTTCTTAGTATTTGACTGTTTAATCGTAAAATTCATCAGCATATCGAGCTCTGCAGATAGAAAATCTTGGGTGTTTTCGATTGATTTCTCACCTGAGTTGTGACTATCCATGAAGGTTTTGTGAGATAGAGCCTTGGTTTTTCCTGCGTTGATTTCGAATTCAGAACGCCGCCTTCCTCTGGTCGAACAGCTTTCGCCGCCGGTAGTCGCAGACACGCGTTCGCCGCCATCTCCGTCCTTCTTAAGTCTTAAGTCGACACACCAGAATCCAGAAAGTCCATGCTCTGTTCCTTTCCTTCTTCGTCTTCCACATTTCCAGTTTCCTATACTCTCTTGGGCTATGGGCCTAAGGCCCATCTCTCTACTAGACCTTCCTGAGTTTCTGGCCCATTCTTCCCCTCGGTGGTCAAAAAGAACCGAACCGGACCTCATGCGACTGTCGTAATCATTATTGTTGTCTGTTCATAATAGTATGAAGGAGTGTAAAGCAATCAATTAATGTTACTTCTCCAACAATTCAAAATACAGTACGCATTGGTGAGTTGTATTGCTTTCTCTTTTCTCCAAATACTCAAGATGTCTCTCTTTCATTGTGTTTAAATGATTTAGTTACAAGCAACCAAAATTGGATAAAGAAAAATACCAAACAAAAATAGAAACACAAAACAACTTCCATTGTTGACAATTTGAACTCATCATCCCATCTTTGCCAACCTGTTGACTATATAATTTAAAGGCACACATGATGAACATGATGATTTCTTTCCAAAGCAATCCATCTTCTCCTTCTTCCATCTCTTCTCCTTCTTCCATCTCTTCTCTTCCTGTTTCACATTTAGAGATTTTCGAAATCAAAACCTCAAATTCACACAAAGACAAAAGAAAACTTATGAGTCTTGGCCTTACAGTCGAAAGTAGCCCAGCTTGAAGGTGGTGCTATGGTGGTTCTTCTGTTATGACTCAATTCGCTCGAGAAAATCTCTTTCTTTTGATTTGGTTTCTTAACTTCTATCCCCACTGGTAGAGGTAGAATATACATATTCTCCTTCATATCTACCGAACCCTGCATTGCAGAAACGACAAACTTAATGAAAATGATTCAAGAACCGAAAGAGGATAAAAACATTTTGCAGGGATTCAGAAAGTCAATTTTGTTGTGAAGATAGCATACCCCTCGAGTTCTTGTTTCTGGAGGTGTTGCTTCAAGAACATGCTTAAGAAGGATCTCTTCATCAAGAGAAAGAGTTCTTGCTTTCCTTGGAGTTTCGGGCTTATATCCGCTCTCTACCAAGTGACTAACTTTGCAGCTTAGCTGGCTAGCTATAGGAGCCGGTTGTATCCCTCCCGGTGAAACCCATTTCTTCTCGTTGTATCTTAAGAAACATAAACAGAGCGAAGATTCAAGCTAAACATCTGTTGTAGCAGATGAGGAAGCAGCAAAGGCAAAAAAAAACACATCTTAGCATAGAGAAGAATTCAATACTTGGCTCTGATAAACGCATCGCTTGAACTTCTCTCGAAATGAAGAGGCAATTCTGATTCCCAGTATTGATTTGCCTTAGCATTACCAGTAGCTAGACAGAGAATAAGATGATCAAGCTATAGGGGTTGACGTGAATTCTAAATTTTCAACTACTGAATGGTTTCAGTATATACAAAAAAGGAGCTTACATTGCATGAAAGCAACCTGATCTGGAAGCCATGTATCCAGAGTTATAGACCTTACCTATGTTTTTCAAAATAGTCAGTATCACAACACTAATATTTGTTAGGTTTCATTTTGGCAACACAAGCCATTGAATAAAGAATATCGGTGAACCTGTGAAATGTGGACACCGAGGCTGCGATGGATTCCAGAGCACTGCATACAAATGAATATCCCAAGGTTCACACTTGCCCATCTTGGTGCCCTGTAACATAGATAGATAGATCCAACACACACAAAGGTCTCATCATTTCGTTGATGAATACTGATGAAGAAGAGAGGAGAACAAATTTTATCCTCATGCTTACTTTGATCTACAATCTGCACATTCTTTATTGTCCGGGTGCTTCAAAAGTGCTCCCAATATCTGTAACCACACAAAAATCTCAAGGAAACCATTCGTGATTGGGGAAAGTAAAAGACGCAAAAGAAAAATCAATGGTGAAAATCGAAAAGAAGGAGAAACAAAGGGACCTTTGTATGCTTGGCGTTGAGCTCCTTGGAAACAGAGGCCTTCTGGTTCATTCTGATGAAGAAACAATCAATCACAGAGAGAAGGAGAAGCAAATGAAAAACCAAACGTCGAGAGCGAAATTGGTCTCAAGGAAGAACGGATTTGAAGGAGAGAAGAGGAAAAGAGAGAGAGAGAGAAGGAGAAAGACGGTTTCTTTCTCGTACCCTTTTATATCTGTGACTACAACACCTCATCTCTCTCTCTCCATCTCTATTTTTGTTAATTAAGATAAATAAACAATTATTAATCGGAGGAGAAGAAGATGGAGAGACAGTGAAGGGTCAAAGCAGAAGGAAGAGACTCAAAATGAAATCCCTAGCTCTCGAATTTGTTCTCAATCGATTTCTCTTCTCCGTTCTCATCTCCGGCGATCTCGACCGTTACTCCACCAAAAAACCTCAATTTTTCCTCAGGTTAGCTACTTCTCTCTTCCGAGCTTAACGGGTCACTGCAAAACTCTATCTACGAGTTCTTAATCCTCGCAAGATTGAGACTTTTCATGTGAATCTCTATTGTTCACAACATATCTGGAAACCATCTATGATCTATCTATAAAGCATGAATTTTGCAATTACGAATTTAAACAAGCTTCTTCTCCATATATAATAACATCTATACATATACGAGTTTACCTTCAAAATCGTCATAATGGTAATAAACAATGAAAGAGCATCATTACACTTTGCTGCCATGCGTGTGTGTGATATTCATAACTTATCGAGCTTTAAGAAGATCTTTGCAGGAACTTGTCGACCTTTGAGTTGGTCACAGCAGAGAGAAACTTCATGCAAACAGGAGGATTCACTCCGGCTATAGCGAGCACTGAGCTCGGCAAAGACCAAATCCCGTCTCCGCATATCAAACCAGAAGCCACCGCAGTGCCGAAAGCTTCGGCCTTGGCTGCATCAACTCTCTCCCAGATGAAAAGTATCAAACTTCCCACACACATGTCGATCGCAAAGTAAGGCCCCAAGAAAAACGGTATCGCCATCGCCATGGGAAGAGGTATAAACCTTCCCCATCTCCTCCAGAGACTGTCTTTCACTATGTTCACGAGGATCGCCACACCGAAGAAGGCGTAGCACAGAACGAGACATTCTCTCGGTAACGACGAGACGCCTTCCACTCCTAGTTTAGCCATACTCCGATACACGGTAGCGAATGGTGCAGGGTACTCGCTGTTTGGGATGCCTAGATCATCAAACGCCTTGTAGAAGAGCCAGAACACGCAGGGAGATACCACACAACCCATTGCTGTTCCAATCATTTGGCTCACGAACATCGACTTTGGGGATGATAAAGTGAGGTAACCTGTCTTGAAGTCCTGTGTGAGATCCGAAGCTGTTGATACTATGTTCATCATGACACCACACGCTGCTAGACCAGCTAGCATACCACCGTGCTCAGAGCCAGCCCAAGCTCCTATTGTGAATATGGCGAGCTTTCCGTAAGTTGAAGCCAAGGACCAATCTGTGAGTCCAGCTCCATAGGCGTTACAGAAGGCTAAGACAGGCGCGCAGATATAGATGACCAGAATGTAATACCATCTCAGCTGGTGAAACATGTGAGGGAGTATCGCTGTAGCTGTTGTAGCTATTATGATATATCCTCCAACAGCAAACCAAGTAGGGATTTCGTCTTTGAGGAAGAATCTTGTACGGCGTTGGTCGTCGTATGATTGCTTCGGGCTAAACGGGGAAGCATGAGGGTCTTCTTCAACTGTGAAGGAGGAGGTTCTTGAAGCAGGTGCAGTGCCTCTGAGCTGTACAAATAGTCCTGAAAGTGTCCGGCTCAGGACTTTGCAGAAGTTGTATAGGCCATCTCCTAGGATTATCGCAACAGCTATGAACACCTGAAAGGGATAAAAAGGTTCAGTGTGGAGAGCAGGAGAATTCGTAGAGAGAGAATTAACGGAGGAATGTTATGGAGAGTTCAGTTTACCTTGTAAGCTTGGAGACCATGCATGCTACTGGGTGGGACATCAGCAGGAAACCAATCTCCCTTTCTGGTTTCAATGAGAGGCCACATTATACCCCAAGAGAGGATTCCTCCCAGAAGAACAGAAATGTTGATGATGTATGGGCATATCATGCCAACACCCACATACGTTGCTGAAAAATCAAAGTAGAACCTGTTTGTACGTCAGGCTCTCACCAGAAAGGAACTCAGCATTGGATTACTGTCCAAAACAATAAGCCAGATTTTGGTTCAAACCAATGCTCTACATTTTGAAGTTAAGTGAACTGTTTATTGAGCTTACTTGTACTCGTAAGCTTTGAGTCCAAATGTTGGGAAGTTGGAGAACCCACAGTTTTCTCCTCCGGTAAAGAACCATTGGAAGAAACTCCATAAGAAGCTGAAGGAAAAGAATTTCCCCAATACCCTCACTTGTTTCCTGATGCAGAGAAGCAGCGTGGAATCAGAAGGAAGCAGAAAACTCAAGACTAATAAGCATAAAGTGAAGGGAAAGGACAGTACTTGGCTAGCTTAGCGCCTTGAGGGGTGTGAAAGCTGTTGATAAGATGAGCAGTTGCAGTGCCACTTGGGTATGTTAGTTTGAAGTCTATTACCATTATCTGCAAACACACAGGAATTGGCAAATTCAAGATCTCATAAACTCATCGTCCCTCTTTGGTTCAGAGGAGAGAACCAGGAAACAAAAACTGTGACAAACCTTTCGCAGGGGAACGACCGAGAAGAGGCCAAGAAAGCTGACAACAAAGAGAAAACCCATAATCCAACCTAATGAAGGGTTCTTGACGCCACGGACAGCATCTCCTGATTGGTTCGCGATTCGTTCACTCATGCCAAAGAGGTAAGTCCCAAACCCTCCTGTATTTTTCCAAATGCCCAAGTAGCCATTTATTAATAAGAAACATTACCAAAACGAAAGAGAGAGAAACCAAGTGTGTGATGAGTACAAAAGACTCAAAGAATTTATCTTTTTATATCAGAAAGACACTAAACACACTACCGAGTCATGATTCTCACAGGCAAAACTATGGCAAGATTCTAATTTAACTATCTGATTCAGTATGAAGATGAGTTTTTTTACCGCTGAAGGCAATGCCGGAAGAAGCAACAACGCAGGTCTGAATAACAGTATTCTCCTGGCGAGTAAATGGCTGTTTCAGGTATCCAGACCTATGAAGCATCTTGGTCCATGTCTTGACGAAGAAGAATCCCAGAAGACCAGCGGAGACGTTGAGCGACGGTATGATTCCGGTCGTGAGGTTAAGCTTCATAACAATGAAGCTAAACAAGATGCTTAGCACAAAGCTCACCACAAAAGCTCTCAGAGTCAGCTGCTTCTTCCACGAAGGTACTTCTCTGCTTTCAAAGATTTTTTCCACAGATTCCTCCTCTTCCTCTTCACTTTCTTCTTCCTCGACATTCTTGTTTGTCGCCTTCTCTGATTCTGGGCTAAACACAGTTTCCTGCAACTCATGTTCCACAATCTGCCGATCTCTGCCTGGATTTATCACTCCCTTTCTCATCCTATCTCTCTCTCTCGTTTTCTCTGTTTCTTAGATCTACGAGAGGAAAGAGATCGTGAAAGGAAGTATTATTGGAACGAAAATCAAAGCTCAAAGGAGTCAACTTGGACTCCTTTTTAACATTCTGACAAATCAGATAGCTTTAAGCTACTTTATTACTTAAGGTTCTTTGTCGGTATGTCTGTAAACAGCTAATTATTTGGGAGCTTAAGTTTAATGGTTTACTAAATCAAAACACCATTATTTCTAACAAGTTCTTAACTCATCCATACCCAACAATCTTGGATCTAAATATCTTGATATATAAACAGTATCTCGAGTGCTCTCCAGACCACAAAGTTGAATAAAAGTTTGTACCCTTTTTTTATTTAAAAGATAATACTAATTGAAGATAAGGAAAAATATCGGAAACCAATGGTGTCTAATTTTATCATCTCAAAATGGCATATATATTACTCAATATGAAATGAAAAATAAAAACAAAGTAGAGAAAAGGACCAATCTATAAATTATATATTCCATAAACACTACAATCTAATTTACACGTGAGGACCACACTTTTACAGATCTTTTTTGAACTTTTGGTTTTTTTAAGAAAACACTACGAGACACAACGGTTCAATTCCTAAAAAATGTCTCCTTGTTTTTTGTAGATAACATTTTAGAAAAAAACTTGTCATTTTTTGGCAACTTTCTTTCCAAAAAAAACAAAACTGATCTTTAACCAGTGGAGCTGTGATTGTAAAAGCGAGAACACTGAATAGCAGGCCTTGAGAGCAGAGGTGCGACTTCGATTGGACACGTGGACAAACCGACGACTGGATCCGTCTCCATACAGTTATAGGACAAACAGAGCGAAACAGAGTCTGGTAGTTGAAAACCAGAGTTCCAAGGGAATCTCGTGAAGTAGTTATGTTGCAAGAAGAGCGTCTTTATTGTGCCGTTGACTAAGCTCCTGACGTAATCCTCTGGAATATCTCCTGTAAACCGGTTATTGTTCAGGAACAGAGACTCTGCTCCGACGAGCGAAGGAGGTAACTCTCCGGAGATTGAGTTATGGCTCAGATCAACAATGGAGCCCTGAGGTAATGACGTGGCGATGCCGTTGGAGATTGCCGTGAAGTTGTTTCGTTGTAGGAACATTGATGAGATTGCGGGACTAAAGAATGAGTCCGGGATTACGCCGGTGAATTGGTTCATGCTGAGATCGATGTACGTGAGCTTCGTTAACGCCTCCAATGCATTGATTGTGCCTTGCATTGAGTTTGCGGAGAGAGACAAGTACCGGAGAGTGGTCGGGAAAGCTGGTGGGAGTTCGCCGGAGATTTGGTTCATTTTAAGGTCTAAATGGAACAAAGGGCTAGAGATAGGTTTAAGGTTGAGAGAGAAATGGTTTGAAGCTAAAACAAGGACTTTGAGTCGAGGAAGCGTAGTGAGAGACGGAGGGAGAGATCCTGAGAGTTGGTTATAGCTAAGGTCAAGAGTGTGGAGGTATGAGAGAGATGAGAAAGAATTTGGTATAGGACCGGTTAAGCGGTTTCGGGTTAAGGAAATGACTCGAAGGAGAGGAAGGGTATCGAACCGGGGAGGGAGAGGACCGGTGACTAGACCAGGGTAGAGAACGAGTTGGGTCAAATGGGTGAGATTGGAGATGGAAGGGGAGAGGGAACCGGAGAGGTTAGGGCCAAGAGATAAGGCGGCGACACGGCCGAGAGAAGTGCAAGTGAGGCCTGAGAAGGAGGAACAAGGGTCAGGGATTGTGAAGTCCCATGATGAGAAGAAAGCTGAACCGGGCATGTCGGTTAAGGAGTCTCTGATGGATTGGAGCGCGGTTCGGTCTGATGGAGCCAATGAAGAAGAGAAAGTGGAGTGGAGGAGAGTGAACAAAAGGAGGAAGAAAGTGTAGCTCATTGTTTTGTTTGATGTTTTTTAGTATCTTTTTTTTTCTTCTTCTTTCTTTCTCAATTTGTCAGTTTTTAGTTTGGTGAGAGAGTTTTTAAAGGGAAGAGGAGAGCGCGTGAGAGAGAGTAATAATGAAAACAGAGAGAGTGTTGTGATATTGAGTGAATGTTAACGTTATGGATTCTTGTTCGAAAATGTGTTAGTTTATTTATTACGCCTCTTTTGACTCTTGTCGGTGATAATGGCGGTTGTGGTCCCCTTTTTGCATTCAAATCTCCTCGGGAGGTAACTTAAAAGATGGAGATTCCGTTTTTTCGGTTTTGAGATCTTCAACTTCAGGCTCCATTTCGATTTTAGATCAAAATTAATCAGAATTCAGAGATATTAGTGTATTAATTATTTTAGTTACTGTAAATATACATGTTTCGGTTCATTCGGTTACGTTAAATTCCATTTCGGTTGAATTTTCGATGGTATACACATCCATTCAATTCGATTATAATATTAAATTATGGAGTATATTGTTATTTCTCAACTAAACTAAACTCACAAATTTTTGGGAATTTGGTTACGGACATATTTTTGAAATTCGGTTACTCAACTGAAGTAAACATCTAAGTGTTAGTTCTTAACTACTAGCTAGTTAAGCACCCATGTAATCCCTTGATGGGTTGAATAAATCTTATAGGCTTATTAATTAATTACATGCAGACACATATAATAGACTAAGCTATACACACTATTCAACTTCAATTAATATTAACCCAACCTGAAATTCCAATAAGTCTAATAGACTAACATCCTTCATTTCCAAAACAATCATCCATATATTTACAGAACCTGTTTGTTGCATGTTTTAATCAAACTCAGGCTTAAACCTTCCAAATTTAATTTAGGTTTCAAATCAAACAAAAGACAAGGAAGAATTTTTTTAAAAAAAATTGTGATACTTGTAATCCACTCAATCTAAAAACTCTAAAGGAACCGATATCAAACTTGGAACATAAACACAGTGAATAAAACCGAACAGAACCAGATCAACGTGGCCACAACACATGATTAGGATCTTGTCATAGATGAAGTAATTAACACCGTAGAGATTTAATTAACTTTTAACATTTGAAATTCTCACTCGAGAAATAAAAGCTTCGGATAATATACTCATGAGTCTTGCGATTATAAGCACATACAATACAAACTTCCATTGAAGGACACATGTGATGGTTTAGCTGTTTTAGATATGGGCCTGTCGTATAACTTCAACGCGTGAGACGTACATTCCTACACCGTAACTCACCGGATTTTGCGGCAACAAACAGTACACTCCAAGAGCTTGTAGATTTGTACTTTATTCGATATACAGTATAAATATAAACATTAACACTTCTTGATCGGTTTTCAAAAGAAAATTTAGTGGTTCGATTTCGGTTCATGAACTTTCAGGTCGAATTTTATGCCCGTAAATCTAATGGCAGCCATTATTTTAGGGGAAAAATACAAAAGAACAAAAAGGAAACACTCACAAGTCACAAAAACAAAATCAGAGAGTTTTTATTACTTTCTTTCCTTTGTGTTGCTTTGTTGTTATAATCTGTTTAAATCCGATCAGACGGTTGTTGAGTCTGTAATATCTCTGGAAGACTCTTCGAAGTTAACATCTTCCGTTACGAGCGGCCGTGTATCCGCCGCTGGATCGTATCCTTGAACAACGAGTACCGAAGCGGTGGTCGAAAACTCCGACGACGACAAGAAACGTCCAACAGGTCCTAACTCCGGACAATCCGAACTGTAAACCAACGACGCAACCGCCGCATTTCTCCCGACGACGAAGAGATTACATTTGCTCATCGCCTTAAGCGTCGCGTTGACATCTTCTTTGCTCTCCACGACTCTCTCCTCGTAAGCCAACGACTCATTTCCTCTTGGATCGTTCATCAACTCACTCACGAACTCTGCGTCGATTTCTTTCTCTTTCTTCTCCTTTTCGTCTTCTTCACCTTTGTCGAATCTCTTCAGTGTCCCTCTCGCAGCCACGAACTTGAGAACGGTTAGCGTGATACCTGGGTGCTCCACCATTTTCATCCCGTAGGCGAGAGCTTCTCGATCGTCAAGGCCTCCGAAGAACGGAACCACGACTTTGTAAGCAACTTCGCTGGCCACGACCTGTGAGGTCCCTCCGAGTCCTCTGTCCACAAGAATCCCGACGGAGCAAGGAGCTCGTTGCAAGACCCGTTGGTTCACTACATGGAACCCATGCCCGATCGTCTCCATTGATCCGTCCACTCGCTGATGCTTGTGAAACGGAAGCAGAATCATCGCCACTCGTTTCTGATGCGCGCTTGTGCATATGTCCTCGTGGATGCTGCCTAGGTCAGAGATTGCAGTCATTGGTCTAACCGCTACAGCTCGGAGATGCTGGTAAGCCTCGAAGGCAATCACCATATGATCTGTTGATCTCTCGATCTTGTTCCAGATTGGGAGTCCGTTGTACCGAGCTTTGTGAACCATCGCGATCGCTGATGACCGTTCAGAGAGCTCCATTAGATGCATCGCGTAAACGCAGAGACGTCCCTTTTGCCCTGTTCCTCTTGACGTTTCGATCAGATTGATCAGTGTAGGGATGTTGCGTGTACTGTGGAAGCAAGCAAGTATCCTTAGCTCGGAATCGTGATCTTTTCTTTGGATCGTTCTATGCTTGTACGGTGCTCCTTTTCTTGCAGGCTTGTAAATCGCCATCAAGAGTGGAGTTGTGATGAAGGTTGTGAACAACGCCATTAGCACTAAGATCGCAAACGCCTGATCATTCAACACCTTCCGGTCCTTGCCAATGTTTAGAACAATAAGCTCTACTAAACCTTTGGTGTTCATAAGGACACCAAGTGCCATGGCTTCTCTGAAAGGAACCTTGCAGAGCAGAGAGGCACCAACGGTTCCTACAATCTTCCCGAAACAAGTGGTCAGTATGACAAGAACTAGAAGCCCCCATGATTGCGCTCCCCTGATCGTTGTTACATCGGTTTTGAGACCGCTAGACGCAAAATACAGAGGAAGAAGAAGCCCTGAGACAAGATCCTCTATCTTCTCAGTCAAAATCCTGCAGAAAGGTCCTTCTTTAGGAGTTACTATACCTACCACAAATGCCCCGAACAGCGCGTGGATCCCTATAGTGTCTGTCACAAAGCTTGCCGCTAGAACCAAGGTTAGAGTGATACAGACATAGAGTTCCTTCACAGGCTCTCCTTCAGGACATCGTCTAGCCATATAACCAAGCAGAGGTTTGATTGCCACAATTGCAAAGATCACAAATCCTGATCCAGAAAGCAGAACCCAAACAGGTACAAGAGGAGAACTCTCATCTCCTGAGAGAGCAATCGCAAGCGCGAGGAGTATCCAAGCTGCAACATCGTTCACTCCAGCTGCAGACATCGCCATACGTCCAATGTCGGTTGTTAGAAGCTTTAGCTCAGCTAGGATACGAGCAAGCACAGGGAAGGCAGTGATTGATAAGGCAACACCCATGAAGACTATAAACGGAAGCTGACGGACTCCTTTGTTTATGGTGGAACTGAGAACAAAAGATGTGCCTACACCCATTACAAACGGAAGCGAGATCCCAGCTAGAGCTATCAACAGTGACTTCTTTCCGGTTTTTCTGATGGCTGCAAAGTCGAGCTCAAGCCCAACTAGGAACAAGAAAAACAGAAGACCGATGTTTGCAAGCGTGTCTAAAACGGTCATGCTCTTCTTTGGGAAGATGGTGTCAAGATACACCTTGCTTCGTCCCAGAGCAGTAGGTCCAAGCAGTATCCCTCCCTACAAAACCATCTATTTTTTAGTCTCTTACTACATATTATTAAACTAACATCGGAAAAGAAAGAGAGAAGATTACAAGGAGATATGAATGAAAACTCACAATGATCTCAGCGATGACCCGGGGCTGTTTGAGAGGCTTTAGTAAGAAAGCTAAGAGCCTTGTAAACACAACCACCAAGCAGATCTGTAGGATGAGCAGAGGAAGAGCGTAATCAAGAGGGTTTTCGTTTTGGAAGGCTCCATTAGAAGTAGCCTTCATTCCATTTGGGCAATGCCCCACTGTAACATTGGTGCTAGCCATCCTAGTCGAGATCAGACTTTACGGGTTGATGATTGGTCGAGAAAACGAGACACTGCTTCAACCTTTTCAATTAATGCCTTGGCTGCTCCCTCATTGCATCGCCGAGAGGATTGAGACTTGAACGGGAGGAAAAAGGTAACCGGATCTATTCAGTAATGTCTCTGTTTGTCATGAAACAGAATCTACTTCAGGAAGTGAGGATATAAAAGGGAGAAACAGAAAACTAGTAATGCTAATAATAGGAAGACGAAATTGAGGAGGACATACCAACTCCAGGGTGGGCATATACTTCGCAACTTTTTTCTATTTATAGACTGTCAGTTACTTAACTTCCAACCAAATCGCATCTCTCCTCCAACGGATATGAACTGCCTACACGGCGCCGTCGTTTCGTCACTGTTTTGTCCGTTCGTCCAAAATTTGCAAGCACTTGTACATATGTCTCCTAGGAAATGAGCATTTTGATGTCTCAACCATTTTCACATATATCGATGTATCTGCATCGGATACACGATATAGAATACATAATACGTAAACATCCATGAGGTGCATAAAAGTAGTAAGAACAACTGAATGAATGCATTAATAGAGGAAGAGATCAACATTGTTCCACGTCTAATCATCATGTGTTCTCGCTACATTCTAATTTTCCAGAAAGAAACAAAGGTATAAAACTGAAGACCTTGTTCTCGTGCAGCAGCAGCTAGAGCCTCTATGCGTAAATCCAACTGAAGCTAAGGGTCTCATGATCTTAAGAGAGATTGCAGTTGAAATCATAGGCAGTGATAGTGAAGTAGCTTACAGTGGTGGGACAAGCTGTGTAGTCGAACTCCTCAGAGACAGGTTTCTGGTTGGTTGAAGCTAAAGTGTGCATCTTGGTATCATCAATCACTTAGACGTAAAGATGCTTGTTTGAGCGAAAGACGCAGAGCCTTGGCCTGTCAGGAGTACCGCTTAACCTAAGGGAACAACAATTATAAGATTCATGAACAACTATATGGTTTCTTAAGAGAGAAAGGTATCAGAAGCCAATTCAACTTAGGCCTAATGTTTACCCTTATCAGTTACTGGAAAACTTAAATCTTTAAGAACCTGGATGTTCACTGATGGATGGTCAAACAAATGCTTCAATTAGTGAAACTAGTTACAGATTCATCGCCGGAGTTCATTATGACAACATTATATGTAACTCTCACCACCTATGTTCGTATCTAAAAACACTAAATTTCATCAGAATTCGGCTTTTTCCCCCCTGTAATTAGACTCAAGTACATGAATTTGAAATACGCAACATCGAAAATTTAATGAGATTTGAAAAGAAGCTGTACCTTCTTAATACGAGAATGGCGTGCGATTCCGTCATCGCTGCTGGTTCTCGATTTGGCACCATAGCCCCAAACTGCGAAGACGAACATGGCTTCACGAAAACGGCAGGGTGTTCAACTCCGCTTCCCATGAACGTACTGTGGCTCGCGGCCAGGCTCATCGACCAGCATCCGCTAAAGCTCGCCATTGTCTCTCTCTTACTCTCACTCTCACTCTCTTTGGGGTCAGGAGTAACAGTGCTAAATCTCTCTTTTTAAATTTTGGTCCCTCAATTTTTGTAGCTTTTTAAATGCCTCCATTTTTATTTTGAAGTGAAATAAGAATCACAAATCAGAGAGTTCTTTAGCTGAGAAATCAAACACTGTAGACCCTTGATCTTTTTTTTTTTTTCTCTAAAACCTCTAATCAAAGCACTCAATCAGTGTGACCAACACAAACATTACAGAGCTTTTTTTCATTACCTGAGTAAAGTCATCAAGGAACAATTCACCTGGAACCAAATCTTCAACAACAAAAGAGAAGACACACAGGTTGAAAAAACAACAACTAAGTTCTCTAATCATATGCTAATCCAATGAAATGACACATTCACAGTTCCTCCTCAGCGCTAAGTATGCTTCCAGAGGATCAATCAACTAAACCTCTCTACTCTTCGACGGCGCAGCTCATCTAAAGGGAGATCATTAGAAGAAGAAGACTGTACCGGTCCCTGATGTACTGACCATCCGTTTCCTCTAGCCCTCCCCGACCCACACATCTCGCAGACACTTTGCCAACCAGAATTGTCATATGTACACGACTGGCATCTCCAGATACCAGGCCCTGCAATCCCAGTCTGCCCTCTTCCCACTCTTCCTCTCCCTGAGATCCTCCTCCTCCGAGACCTAACCATACTGTTCAGAAACCTCAAGGGCCAAGTCACCGCTCGGGTAACACCTCGAACCACCATGGTCACAGGATCTGAGCCAGAGCGAGAATCCTTCAGCTTCAGGTAGAGAATCCCAGCAAGGATTCCACCTAAATGCCCGAGAAACGAAGCGCTCGGTACAAACATCTGCACTAGGATCAGTTCTGCCCAAGCGGCGTACTTTGTTGGGACGAGGATGCCGTACACGCTGGTGTAATCCTCAGCCTGAGCATTGAGAACAACTTTCAAAGCGAAGAGGACGCCCGAGAATCCGACGGAGTACTCGTGGTAGTAGGCTCTCCTGTAGTCGAAGAAGGCGTGGAGGGATTTGGCTAACAGCAACGTTACTCCTTGGGACATACCAAGAAGCGTAAACACCATGGAAGCAAACTCGCTGCTTCCCATGGATGTCTCGAGCTTGATACCTTTCCAGAGAAGAGACATCATGTTGTAGACTAGGTGAGGCTCGTTGAGATGGTAGAACGCTGATAGAAAGAAGCGTTTCAAGTCCTTGTGCTATTCAACAAAGAGACACACACGAAAAATCAGCATAGAGAGATCAAACGCTTAGACCAAATGTGATTTATGGTTTTTGCGAATCGAAGATTGGATCAACAGAACAGAAGCCAAGCAATGATTAACATCATAAATAGCTAAAGGTTACTAACAAAATCCCAGATCCTCCAGAAATTGGTACAAAATTTCCAGAAAAATACATACAGAAAATCCGATTCTAGATCGACGTCGGCGAAATCGCAATCACGCGTGTGCAATCGATTTCTCAGATAAACAGTCGTGAATTGAGAAATTGAGGAGGTTACCTTCAGGATGAGGTTGGGATTGAACCAGACCTCACTGATGTGAGGGATATAGGGATCGATAAACGCCGGCCTGAGGTAGACGAGAGTGTTCGCGGCCAATAGACCCGCCGTCACCGGCGGTTTCCACGGCAGCCTATAGTACTCCGCGACGGCGCTAATCGCCAGCAGCGGAAGCATCCCTCCGCTTCCTCTTCTTCTTCCTTCACCAAAATTCGCCATTGCTTCTGAATGATTCTTTCCTTCTGATCTGTAAAATCTCTCTCGAATTCCTCTTCAAGTAATTAATCTGATCTCATTTATATAGCAGCTTGGTCTGTACGAAAACAATTCTCCAGACGCTTCGTTTCATTCACGTAGAACACATGGGACCCACCATGACATTTAAAACACCACTTTAGAAGCCTAATCAAATTATTCCAAAATCTCTGACCTTTAGTCTCTCTTGATTATGCAAATCTCAGTCACATTCTTCTTATCCACGGAGAAAAAAATTTCAAAATATTGGAGAGAGTACAGTGCTGCTCAAATTGAACGTTTATTCGAACAAAAATTGAATACTATAACACACAAACACACACAAAAAAAAGAGAATCATACAACAGTAAACAATGGATTGATCAAAAGCCTCTCTCTCTCTTAGTGATTGTCATCAGCTTTAGGCCTTGTGTTGATAAGCATTTTGCGAAGCATTGTGTTCTCGTTCGTCAAAGTAGAAATCTTCTCTTCAAGCTGATCATTGTTGTTCTGCAACTCATTAGCTCTCGATTCCAAATCACTCACATACACTTTCTTTCTCTCCCTCGCTTGTTGTGCCGATACTCTGTTCCTCAACAATCTAAAAACAAGTAATTTTTTTTTTTTTCACTTTCTGTCTTCTTATAAAACATTTCAACTGCAAATGGCTACCTCTTGAGGCTTCTGTACTCTTTATCGACTGGGTTTCTTCCACGGCGGCGTTTGGAGTCTGAGATTCCGTTTTGTGTCTGGTCAATCTCCGGATTATTGGCTCCGTCGTCGGCGCTGCTACTTTGAACACCTGTCGATCCAGCTGCTTCCATGTCTGGAACCATCAACAACTCCTCATCACTCTCCTCTGTAAATTATAATAACAGACCAAATATCTCAGATTCTTATAAAAAAAAGAAACTTTTCTAACTCAATTAGATAACTACCAGTTTTGTGCTTCTTGGGGGAAGAAGAAGAACTCGAGTTCCCATTGGGTCGTTGAAGAGACATTCAATAGTATTTGAGAATTTGATGAAGACCAAAGTAGAGATGTTAAGAGGTTAAAGAGAATATCGAACCGAAGAAAATTGCTTCTTTTCTATTTTTCCTCTCCTCTTTTGGGACCACTGAAAGTGTGAAAACCAATCAAACACCATATAGCTCTGCAACTCGTTTCGACGAAGAAATGTTGAAAAGTTTTGTTTGGCTTACAAAAGAACACGTAGGTTTATGCAAAACCACAAATGCAGTAGTTTCAATCCAATGGTCGAAACTCGCAGAGCATATATATATAAATGTATCTTCGTTTTCTTTTCCACTATATACCTTTAGTTTAAAATTTTTACTTATAAATTGATTGATTGTTCTGTTTTGCTTTTAAAATCTTTGTTCATGATTTCTTAATGGAAACAACCTTTATTGACAGAGCGTGTGGTTTTAAGACAATAATTACTGTCTACAACAATACAAACGTACTTGCAGACAAAGTCAGAAGCACAACTATTTGTGTATCTATTTGCATGGCGTAGGCATGCACTAACTCATCATGTAGTTATACCTCGTTCCTATTACTCCTTGCTTTATTCTTTTTATGATCCCTAATAATAGTAACAGTTAACTTAATTTTAAATATCTTTTTATAGCCAGATAGATTTAGAGCCAAAACCCAAACTAGTCATTCCCTAACGTTTAGACTCGGACTTAACGTTTAAACGTTGTGACCAGAACCGGCCTAGATCAAAGGGGACTAAGTTTGGGATACTCCTATGGAGCTATGTTTAATAGTTTTAGGGATCGTGATCATTTAAGAAAAAAGTCTGATAGCTTAATGCTTACAAAATACAAAATTAAGAAACAGATATAAATCCTTTTTTTTCTAGATGCATGACTAATACGCATAATAAAATCTATGGCCTGTCGACCGATCAGTCTATCTTCCCGGACCCATTAGGACATTACCGACCTTTGGTTTGTGGCTTTGTGCTCTTTTTACTCGTTTTCTTCTTTAAAATGGATCATGACTCATGATGAGTGGTGTTTATGTGTATCACTCGAAGGGACTCTGTGCCTTAAAAAATCTAGTAAAATAATTTGGTGTAACTTTTTGACGAAGTACTATCCAAATGATTGATTTTCATCAGCAGCTAGCAGACATTCATTTTGTTTGTAGGACTATATATGATTTGATTTTATGAAGTAATGTATGCAAACGTGGAGATATGATTGCATCTTTGTCTATGCATGAACATGCCACGTTAATTTAGGAGTACATATCATGATAGTGATCTCTCTTGCTATAACTTTTTGGTACAATACTATTGCATGCCTCTCTAGCTATATTAAACGTTTTAATCTAAGATGGTTAGAAATATTCGAGCAACAAACTACACTTCTTTTTTTTTGTCTCTTGGTCGCATGCTCGGCCCTTAAATAGCAAGAGTTATGTCAAAATTTCGGATCTCCTTCTTAAAAAAAACTTTTAGAAGAATATCAGGATCTTGGAAAAAAAAATCTCTTAGTTATGAGTTTTATAATCGATGAAAACAAAGGACACAACTCTTCTAAATTCATATATGCAAGTGAGGAATAACTCCTTGGGCATATTATTAGTATAAAGAGTACTCTACATATTCATCATATTAGAGTACTAGACGTTACGAAGTTAATTATATCGAAATTCTCACAAGAAGGATCCCTAGAGACCAGACATGCATGTCCAAAGACAGATCGTATAATAACTCACAGGAGTCTTATCGATCCAACATCCAAGGTAGGCTTTATAACAAAGTAAATATTATAATAGACTGCTGCACTTGATGATTCTAGGATCTAATATTATTATAAACACAGCCAATGAACATTATGTGATGTAAATGTCTACTTTTTTTTTATTTTTTAGTTATTATAAACCAATGAATGTAGTTTGAAAACAAAAAGATAAAGATTGGGCTCATAAGAGAGACAATCCAGAAAGCTAAAGAGACATTAACAGGAAACGTATAGTTAAAGGAAAGAACACTGTCTGCTCAACAAAAACAACAAACACAAAACTCTTCAGGCTTCCTTTATTTTTTATTGTTTCCGCAATTTTCCATGGTCTGTGACATTAATGTGTCACAGCGACAATTGAGTTTTCTTATCAACAGAATGGTCTAAAAATTGATCCCCCAAGTTCATAGTCTATAGACTCAGTTTTCAAATATTGATGTAGGAAAGTGAAAGTGATGTGATGCTCAGTTTCTGTTTAAGGCTAGACAATAAAGCCTTTTTGGCCCTTTTTATCTCTCCTAATTAAAGAATCTGAGCAGTTGAGAAATTAAAATCAAAGCCTTAACATTTTAGCTCCAACACCATTTGGACACATTTTCCTTGGATTCCTCCTTTTTATGGATTCTCCGAATCTTACATGCAAACAAATCTCAAAACCATAGTTTCACATTTTACTATTAACAAGCTTCAAAGATCTAAAACATTTGAATTTAGTATCTAATCGGGTAATTATAACAGTGGTTATCACAAATCAATGTCTGTTCATATATAGAAGGCTGAAAGTTCATAGTTCAAGTGGGGAACCCTCTGTTTCTAATATTTATTCATACTACTAAATAAAAAAGTTGATTAAATCATTTAAAAATCAAATCTATGCAAACGCATCACCTACTAGTCTCTTGTTGTTTACTAAACAGATAGAGAGAGATATAGAAGGAGAGAGAGAGAGACATGAAGAGCACTCTTAAGAGAGAATAGAAGGAATCATGTAGTTGCAGTTGTAAAGCTTCAAGGTCTCTCATCAATGGAGATTTCTAACTCTTATTCTCCTTATTCATCATCCTCTGTCGACAGTACTAAGCCTTCACCTTCTGAATCTTCAGTTAATCTCTCCCTTAGCCTCACCTTTCCCTCCACTTCTCCACAAAGGTCTTCTTCACATCAAGTCATCACTACTCTGTTTTTTTCTCTGTTCTGTTTTCTTCTCTTTTGTGTTTTGAAGTTTTTGTCTGTTTGTTTGTTTCCGTAGAGAAGCAAGACAAGATTGGCCACCGATAAAACCTTTGTTAAGAGACAAGCTAAAGGGTCGTCGTCTTCTTCAACGCGGTGGCGGCACATCTTTCTTTGTTAAGGTCTATATGGAAGGTGTCCCCATTGGGAGAAAGCTCGACCTGTGCGCATTCTCAGGCTACGAGAGTCTATTAGAAAACCTGTCTCACATGTTCGATACTTCAATTATCTGTAAGCAATCAACAACACTTGGAAAAACAACGTTCAACTAAACTCGAACACCTGTAAGAAAATATTCATACATTGCATTTTTTGGTTCTAACAGGCGGTAATCGAGATAGAAAACACCATGTTTTGACATATCAAGACAAAGATGGAGATTGGATGATGGTCGGAGATATTCCATGGGAGTAAGAATCTTATATCCCCATCTGATATATTAATAATCTCCTCTATTTTGTAATATTTAACGCTGACTTGATTCGATGTTTTTGTTCAGTATGTTTCTTGAAACTGTGAGAAGGCTGAAGATCACGAGACCCGAGAGGTGTTAGAAACTTGGATCGTTCGGTTCATGACTCTGTTTTCACAGTTTTGAGAGATTTAGGCGTTGATGAAGAGTCTTCATGCGGGACAGAGCTCTCTTGCTGCATATCGCAACAATGGCTTTAAAGAACTTGGCGGATTGATGCATATATTTATTTATTTGACACCATTGAGTGTGTTTTTTTTTATATATAAATAAAACGCAATATCCTAGACTTCTTTATTTTTCGGTTCTGAATAATAATACTCCCAAAGTCTTCTTTACGCAATCGTGTTCCTTCGGATGTGTACATGACCATGAAGAAACACACGAACGTTGTTGGGGAGCACGAACGTGTAACGAGGGGAAGAGAATGATTCTCTTTAAAATTGTGCCGGCTCGTCTTTCTTGTTGATTCAGTAATATTCAGTTTACACCGATTTACAGTTTTAATATTGACGAAACCGGTTTCAAGTCCAACAATATACGCTGACTTGAAATCCCGTATAAAGTCCAAACATACACATTGTGAGGCTCGGATACGAGAACAGTTGTGGTCAAATGATTGCATAATCTGCATTAAATTAAGATTCTTCTTAAAAGATCAGCGAAAGTGGATGGATACAAGCAGAAGTAAAGATCATTACATCCCCGATCCAATTTCAAAAGCAAAAGAAGAGGGACAAGAAAAGCTTACTCTGACTATAATCTCGCTCGAAAGAACCATTACCAAAAACCAGAAGAAAGAAAGAAACTCAGCAATTCATTCAACTAAACTCCTTTTCTTTTGCCTTTAGGGCGTAGAAGTCGGAATGTGAGCCAAGCTTGGAACATAAGTGAGGAGAAGTGGCCAGTTGCCATGAGATCCCTTTGTTTCATCTTTATGAACTTCTTTATACATATGCTCTCCAACAATGTAGACTCTGGTCTTAAATTCATCCTCATCATCCATATCTACATCACAACACACTGCCTTTTTATTCTCCTCGTCCAACAAGAAGCTTGACACATTCGTCAAACTTGGTAGATTAAACTTAACAAAATCCACTTCTAAGACGAAGTTGCTCCACGACAGGTCTTTGGACTCCTCATCAATCTTATTGGTCACCCATATCGTCATCACATTTGGCCAAGCAAGAATATTCTGATGTAACACCGAGAGCTTTTCATCCCTAACAACTGATAGAGCCAGGGTATCTACAACGTTAAAACTATGAAACGGAAGAGGGAGACGCACAAATGTCTCTGTTGTGAAATCAAACTTCATCAGGAAAAAGCCGGTTTCTTTATCTCCAGCAACCCAGTAAGTATCTCCTTTCAAAGACATGCCACGGCAAACTAGGCCAAAGTCACGAGTCAATTCAAGAACCCTCCATGAATCAGAGCTAAACTCATACATCTCAAACTCAGAAACCCAGACGTCCTGGTCGTTCGCATAAGAGCAAGACCTCAAGATTTTGTAGCTATGCGCAGAAGAAGAAGAAGAAGATGCGCTGTTGTTAACGACGTATCCTAGATCATAGCTATCTTCACTCCGGTAACAGGTTCTGGGTTTGATCTGCCTCGTTTGGCCAGTGCATGGATTCCAAACCACAAGTCTAGTGTTTCCCTCAGTCGAGCACAATATCAAACCGTCGCAGTGGGTTATTTTGGAGATTTCCAATTTTTCTGAATCCTTTACACTGCGAAGTTTACCTCCTGAGAACTTGATAGATTGATCAACCCTGTTGTTGTGGATGATTCCATGGAGATCGCCGCCGATTGAACGAACCCCATAATTACTCAGTAACATCGACTCCCTCGGTGACTTACTCTTGTTCTTCTTCACGAATTTGGGATCTCTGAATAGAGCGCACCATCGCTTGCAAGTAGTTTTAAATTCCGCTAGAGACTTGGCCGGAACCCTAGAGAGTATTTCCGATTCCAAATCGTCTGGAAGACTGGAAATCTTCATCGTTGTTCTTCTCCTGCGGGAAGAACGCATCAGAACCATTGGACTTCAAACTTGAAAAAGAAACATAGAGAAGCTATCGAAATAATTTCACAGCTGAATCGACTCTATTTCACTCACTAAACACTACAATCAACTCGATTAGATTCAAACAGCATCACAATCGACTCAATTAAACTCAAGTTACTCAAAACTCAAACAAACTCGATCCCGGAAAAGGCAATACCTTAAGATACGGTGGATTGAGAGGCTTGATTGAAGCTTGATGGTTCTTAAGTTCTGAAGATCAGCGACGGAAGCTTAATTACTTAGTCTCACAAACAGAATTTTGAGAATCTCTGAGAAGAGAAGCAACAAATTTCGAGAAGAACACACGCGAAGGTGAATCTAAAAAAAGGAAGAGTTACAGATTAGGCTAAACCGATCGGTTTTTGTTTTTCCGACCGACTCGAACCAAGAACCGAATGAAATTTATAATTTCGCTGTTGAACCAAACGGATCAGTTCTTAGTTCTTTACCTAGAAACCAATGTTGATTCGAAAACCGAGGATCTCGGTTCGGTTCGTTTTGGTCCTAACCGGACCCATTAGTTTTGTATTTCAGGTAGGGGTGAAATGTGCAAGACATTCAGAATAAGAGGGTGGTTATGAAATTAGCTATAACATGTCGCTAACGCTTGCGCCGGCAAAAATAAAAATTGAGAAATTGAAATTCCCCCCCACCACCACTCTCTTTCTCTCTCGCTCGCTTCCTACAAGATTGAATCTGTGAAATTGGAGGAGGATGAAGGCTTCAGGGTCTACTGGATGGAAAGGTCCGGTCAAGTTCAGGATGTAAGCTTCGTCTCTTCTTCTTCTTCTTCCTCTTCGATTAATTTTTGTTTATCGAGTTTTGGGACCTGAATGTTTTGTATCCATCCATGGCCGGAGCTAGGCCCACTGCTGAAAACTTGGTACCTATTCGTTTGGACATTCAATTCGAGGGTCAGCGTTACAAAGATGCTTTCACTTGGAACCCTTCAGGTTTCTCTCTCTCTCTCTCTCACTCTAAAAAAAAACCCTACCTTTAATTTTTTTTCATCGACAGTAGAAAGGCTTTCTCTTGTATGTTGTGATTCACTGATTCTGTTTTTGTCCGTGTGTTTTCGTTTTTGGGATTCAGACCCGGATAGTGAGGTTGCTGTCTTCGCTAAAAGGACTGTTAAAGACTTGAAACTTCCCCCTGCGTTTGTCACTCAGATTGCCCAATCTATTCAGGTTGTTTCTCACTACATCACACGTTCTTCTAGCCTGAGCTTCTCTTGTGCTCTGTTGTTGTTGCTATCTCTTTTACTTGTCATGGAGATGATAAATCGAGCAAATATCTCTGAACTCTGCCACACGCTCGACTTATTGCTTCTAACTACATACTCTTTAGGTTATACTCGTTAAGATACTTGTTTATAGAATTACACCATGTGATGTATAGATGTGTATCTCTAGGAATGGTAGTGTGATGTATTTGTAAGGATTGTAATAGTTTCTTCATAAATCTTTGCTCACATTGGTCATTTTCCTGCTTTAACCAGTCTCAGCTCTCAGACTTTCGGTCATATGAAGGACAAGACATGTACACTGGTGAAAAAATCATACCAATCAAGGTCTTATGACACAAGATATCCTTCTTATCCCCCTCTCTTTTGGTCGTGAGTGATTTTCTGATCAAAGAAGAAATTGATAAGCTGATAAGTTACCTTTCATTTTGTTTTTTTCTCAGCTTGATCTCCGAGTTAACCAAACCCTCATCAAGGATCAGTTCTTGTGGGTGAGAATACCTGGTGATCTTGAACAATTTCAATATTGATTTGTGTACTCTTAGTCTCAATGCAGCTTCATTGCTGATTTGCAATTGCAGGACCTAAACAATTTTGAGAGTGATCCTGAGGAATTTGCAAGAACCTTGTGCAAGGATTTAGGTGTGGAAGATCCTGAAGTTGGGGTAAGATTTCCGCTCAATTTTTTTACCTTTCATTCTGTAATTAAACAAACTTCAGTTCAGATGTTTGATACAAGTGTTGGTTGGTTTCTTTCTCTGAAGCCTGCTGTTGCCTTTGCAATCAGAGAACAACTTTACGAGGTGAAAACTCTGGTTGGATTATTTGTTTTTGTATATCATTGAAAATATTGTTTGTTTGGAACAAGAATGCTAAAATTGGTGACCTGCCATATTGTTGTTCCTGTTTTCCAGATTGCAATTCAAAATGTAGCTTCAGCTAGGGAGAGTAGATTAACTAAGAAAGGCCGCAGAGGATCTGATCATGGTTCAGCAAGGTCTTTTCACGTTGCTCCTATATTTCTATCCAAATATATCTTGTGGTAACAGTTATGTAAGCTCGAACAGTCCTCTTATAGTTTTCTCTCTCTTACGTGCAGCAAGGCAAGTGGCTTGTCAATGGACTTGGTGAAGTTATTCAGCTTTAAGTCCAGCGTAGTCCGGTAAGTGATTTTCCTGATTCCACTCCATGTATAAAATTTCTTAGTGAAATGCCTTCTTAGGATTTTCTGTACAATTCTGTACTAGTGTGTAGATTTGCTTATAAGATGAGTTGAAACAGTTTTAACTGTATGACACATCCTGAGCTTATGTCTTAGATGTACACTATAATGCCACCTCGTCATACATTTGATAGTATGATCCCATTATCGGTGATGGTCCTTCCTAGGAATTGTTCTGATTGTTAACTCTGGGATGTTGCATCTTATTATTGAAGCAAAGAACAGAATCACTAGGGTTTGCTAGTTGGTTAATTACAAAGTAACTCAGTGGAGTTGAAGAACTTCTCTTCCTGCATAGCTTATCATTGAATGCGTTTTTGAAAAAAAATAAGATTTAAGGGATAACAAATTGAGATGCGAACCCAAGCAAAAGTGTTAACAAATTCCTTTCATGACAAATGATATCATCGATCTTGACAGGAAAAGGAAAGACTTGGATGTTTATGAACCAGTGGTGGATCTGCTAACGAATGAGGAAGTTGATGCGCTTGAAGCCAGAGAAGAGAGGCATGCAAGGTAAAGAGTTTCGTGTGTGTGTATATATTCCTAGTGCAGAACTCAAAAGTACGAATAATAGCACGAACTCGACGTTGTTGTTATTATGCTTAACTGGAGTTTATGATATTCGTCGGAGTACTACGTTTTCTCAATCTTTGGATTCTTACAACAGACACAATGTTTGATAAAGATACTAAGTCCTCTAGATGAGATTAGTCATTGCGTTCAACAGTATAAATAAATCCCGGTGTGTATATTTGCTGCAGTGGTATAAGTGTGTGAGATTTGGTTTGGGAAACCCGGTTAAGTGAAACACAAGTGGGTGTTGAATGATGAATCTTAGATGGGTTTACCTCAAAGGGACATGTTAGGTTTGCAGAGTTGAGTAAAGACCATATCTTGATTAAGATGTTTCCCAAACGTTGAGCATGTTAAGAATGTTAGAGAGAGAGAGAGAGTATGAACTTAATTTAAGTGGAAAAAGGAAAAAATGTAGAGAGAACTCAGAGGACAAGGCACGTTGTGAGAATCAAGTGCCCAACTTGAGAATTTAATAAGATCTCATCATCAACCATTAACCCCACTGTCGATATACGGTCGTACTTTTTCTTCTATTCTCTTCTTTCTTTTTTCATTTTTTTGTTCAATGATTGGGTCCCCTTCTAAGCTCAAGCTGCTGTCATCTTAATTATTATTATTTTTATTCGAAAATAAAAATTATTGTTTTGTTGGATGTTTTGTAATTTTGTGTGGTGATTATTGATCAGTTTTTGTTATGTACATTTATGAGTTGTACTTGTGCCCTTGTAATATAGTATCCGTGAGGTTTATTTGAATAAGTTAATATCTTGAATCGGCAGAGTAACAATAATAACAGAATACTACATTATGGATCATTTGAATTTACAATAATAACAGAATTCTACATTATGAATCTCCTTGGTTAGGGATAAGTACTTAAAATTTTAGATGATTTTGTGTTCGACTTATATGCTTCTCTCAGTGACTAAAATCAAAAACTAAACAAGAAAAAAGATCACTTGGTTAAATAACTACATCGAAACTGGCTAAAATCTAACTATTACATAAGGGTCCTAAAATCTAACTGAAATTTAACCAAAAGAAGATCGACTTGTCTAGTTCTAATTAAGGTTATATAACTTATAACTAACAATCTTTCTCTCTTTGTGGTTATAAAAGGATTTGGGTCTACTTGAGACTTTTTTTTTGGTTGACTGAGACTAATGAGCCTAAAGCCTTTAACTCTTTGTGTCTGTCCGAAGTTAAGAACGTCAACTCAGTGGAAAGGGTGTTTATGTTGAGACATTAGACCGTTACCGAAAACGCAAAAGTATTATTATTGCTTATGATAATTATTTGCCTGTTGACAAAATATGATGATTATTACTTGCCTTTCAAAAAATTAACGATATGTAGCTACAATTCGTCATCACTTTTAAACAAAAGTAACAAAGTCGGTGAGTTTACGTTCGTTACTTTTTTTTAATCAAAATTTACGTTCGTTACATTGCAACAATCTAATAAACAATCCCAATATAATGGGTTTTTTGTTGGTCTTCTGATTAATAATGTAACACATGTGCAACTTCGATTAATACATGGCTTTTACATTATGGAGAACTAGCTCTTAAATTCTTAAACAAATACATGCTAATCATCTCATATAAATGATATAGAACTCAAGAAAGACTTTTTTCTCCAAAAAGAAAAGAAAATCCCAGCGTAACTTAATTACGTGGATTATCAAAAGAGAGAGAAATTCTCGACGATACTTCATCGGAAAAAAAAAATCACTAGACCTTAAAAAAAAAAAAGGCACGACCGCCAAATAAGAAAGGATAAGTAGGAAGAGATAGCTATGGTGAGACTTTTAATATATGTACAAAAAAGCAGAGAAGAAAACCATTTTTGTGTGTGTTTGGTTTTGGGGTTAAGAAGTGAGGTTATTGGAGGAGTTAGATTTGTCGAGAATAGACCACATGACGAGAACGTCGTCGTATCCACAAGCCATGACTTCTCCCTGAAGCTCTCTTACCATCCTCCTCTCGTGCTCTTCCCTCGCTTTCGCATCCATTCTCCCACTGCGGCAACCTTTTCGTGGCGATTCCTGCGGTTGGTTGAAGAATGTTGCTGCCTTCTTGAATGGTGTTGCTATTGTTTTCTTCCATGATGCCATTTTTTTTTTCTTTCTTTTATATATTTTGTTTACTCAATTCTTGAAACAAATGAAACCTAGCTTCTTCTTCCAATCAGAGATTCGGATTGGGAGAGCTCGAGAACGACTTGTTATGTGTATTTATACACACACACTCTCTCTCTTATCATGTATTATATAATAATAGTTCTTATTAATAAACTAATTACTAGTAATTAGTAGTGCTAAAGCAAAGGGGAGAGAGAGGCAAGATCCGCAATAAGAGCTTCCAAGAAACATCACTTTTTTATTTTTAACTTTTAACTTTTTTTGTTATCCATTTAACACCGTTTAGGCCTCTCCCTACCTTCCCACATGCCTCTCCACGTGATCTCTTCCTCTCTTTCTTTTTAGTTTTACCAAACACAATTATTTATCTTTCTCCCTATTACATTCAGATCAGCAAGTTGTGTAATCTCATGTTACCAAACCAGATCAAACCGAACCGAACTAAACCAGTATATATACATACGGGGAAGTAGATGAAGTCAAGAGTTTGCCTTTTCCCACTCCTTGGTACTGACAATTTAATCATCAAATGCTTGCTGCATCTTCTCATTCCCATCCACTTCCAATAGTATTAGATGTGCCCATCTCCCTTTATTTATTTATTTACTATTCATATCTACATCAATTTAGATATTTATTTATTTTTCTTATATTTAGGAAACCAATCATCTTAACAGTGAGAGAGAAAATATGTGTGTAATACTATGTACAATACTCATATATAAAACTTAAAATAAGTTTACTATATTGTGAACCACATATCAGTTACATTAGGCCGTTTACATTTTTATTTTAAATTATATGTAGGTACCAATTAAAAATTTAATAATCCACAGCCTAAAGGGATCGTGATATGTTAATTCGAGTTAAGTTTGTAGATCAAACTTGGTGGCTAGAAAATGGTAAGAATGTATACAATTTGAGGACCAATGAATTAGAGGATTGAGGTGGGCACAGATTGGTCAGCAATAGCCCATGTGAATTCCACATGTTTCTCTGCTTCTCTATCTCTTACACTCTTTCCATACACTTCTTTGTTTTAAAATTTATATATATGTAATAATTTGCTTACTCGTTAGATATACATAGAGTGAAACAAAAAGTGAGAAAATTATACTTTCAATTTGCTAACTTAGAGTTTTGAATATAGGTTTTCGTTTGGTTATCAATTTTTAGATATGTTGTATACCATATATTTAAAGTGAATTTGATTTTTAATCCACATTTTCATACAGTTTCAACTGTTTCTTTTGTGTATTTTGGATATAAGAAAATCAAATCATTTTTTAACAATCGATAATCAGATTAATTTATATAGTTGGATAACAATTTTTATACATGGATTGAACATTCTGAATTCAGCAGTATGCACGCACCAAATTACAAGATTCCTTTTTCAAGTGTACGATACATTATATATGTTTAGTTTAAGTGAAAGGGAACCCAAGTAGTAAAATTAACGTAGCTTAAAAGTAATGCTTTAGTTTTGTTCTTTTGATATTAGTTTTAAAAATTAATAAATGCTTTAAAAAGCATCTTTTGCATGAGAGGAACAGTGGCAGTGCATGTATCATCTTCTCGTTACAATAGAATCTGTTGTTTTATTTTAAAAACCCTCTTACATGTTATTATCTTTTATTTTCCCGGAAATATAAAATATCGACTCTCCTCTTTTCATTTGGTTTTATAGCATCCCACATGACAGCCAACGGACTCTGGTCATTGGTGCGTAATTATTTTTCTCTTTCTCTCAAACTTTTTAATTGATATAATATAACAAAAAAGAGTTTAATGTATAAATATTGTAGAACATGATTTGGTTCGTGGTTCTATGATCACAGATTCACACACTCGGAGGTACCCTCGAGACACGATGGATTTAATCAAATGGCTATAACTTTTTTTCTCGGTTAATAATTGATCATAACTTATAGATGTGGTTTCTTTCTTTTACTATTATTTTCTTTTTATCCCATTTTTAAACTCGTGAAGATAATTTAAAGAAACACAAGACAAACTCCTGCAATTTACAGAATTTTGAATCATGGTATGATTAGATTGTATTGTTTCACTTAAAAAAAAACATATTTATAGTTTGGAAAAAAGATACAAAAAAAACTTTGAATGGTGCGCAGCGGATGGATCGTTCTAATTTTGACTGCATGGATTTGCTATATATCTTTCTTTTCTCAAATTGATAGGTCGGGTGAGAGTAAAAAATACTGTTATAACGTTTTTTGAGAATATAATTAAGAAACTAAAACGGAAAAATCTAAAGAGTGAAAAAGTACAAAAAGGGGAGAGCTAATTGTTTGTTTGTTTGTTGACTGATGAAAACAAAGTGACGGTTTGGTCGGTCCGTAAATTAGGTGACTTGTACGAATTTCCGGTGCCTCCCTAACTCTGACTTCCTCTTTTTCTCTCTTTCACACTTTTCCATTTTATTTAAAACATATATTTGTGTAACGTTTTTCAAATCTTTTTAAAGATTAACACTATAGAAGCTTTGACTGTTGAATGATATGTTCTCCTATTCTGACGAAACAAAGTTATATATTCCTGAGTACTTGAAGAGCTGAAGTGTTCAGTTCAGCCCATTGTACTTGTTGCGCCGACAAACATATGATAACATTACGAGTAATAGATCCCCGGTTCGAACCTGAGCTCAGACAATTTTTAAGAAGATTTTGCTTTTTTAAGCAAAAACATCCCATAAGACCATAACATTGAATTACTGGTTGCATAATCCATACTGAACATTTAATTAACGCATATGGATTGAGATGCCAATAATAGGAAGATAAAAAAGAAGACGATTAGTTTTTATTTAACTTTAAACCAAACAACACTTAATGAAATAACTTCACACAAAAAGAAGTTCTATATACAAGCTGAACCGAGTGTTGTTAACTTCTCAGAAGAAATTGGTCAAAATTCACATCTCTCCAAAAAGGTTTTTAACGGAGAAATTTGACACATTTTTAAACCGAGAAAGAAAGCCCATGGATTTACAACTGTTATGGACTTAGGTCTATGGGTCTGTATTTTTCATTTTTGGATGGTTAAAGTCTATGGGCCGGCTCATACATATCACTTGACATCATGATAACTCTGCAAATTGATATTATCAAACGGAATATATATAACTGATTTAAAAAGGAAATTAGATATGATTTGAGATTAATGAACCAAAGAGTGTTATCATTTCGAAAGAAATGTGTTATGTGTATACAATTGCATATACTATAATGACGTTAACAATCACATATATAATGATAAATTAAATTTTTTTATTAGTTTTTTATTTTATTTTATTACGTTTGTTAAAAAAAAAGTAGAAGACA